GACTTCCTGAACATCAATCACCCCGCGTCAGAGGTAGTTTTCCTCGGTGATTTCAATTCCCATAATGAGTTTTGGTAGGGCTCAAACAAGGCCTATGCAGCAGGCCGTGCAGTTGAAGAGTTCGCTCTGACTCAAGGGCTGACCCAGCTAGTGACGAGCTAACTTTTTTCCTCCGCGTCTCGTCACATGCCAGTAGCCTGCTGGATCCCTTTCTGATCACGCATTCTGTCCCTTACAGCACTGCTGTCCTGTCCCCCCTGGGTAACTCAGACCACAGTGTTGTGGAGGTTAGGTTTCGGTCAGAACCCGCTGTGGCAGCAGAAACTCGCTCAGGCCGCAAAATTTGGCATTACGGACATGCCGACTGGGACAGGCTCAGAGGCTTCTTCTCTACCTTTCCTTGGAGAGATGTTTGTTTCGCTGACGCAGATGCGTCAGCTGTCTGTTCTTCGATAACCGAAATTATCCACTTCGGAATGGAGGAATACATCCCTCATAGAGTGGAAGTGCCTAAAACAGTATCCAACGGCTGGTTTAACAAATCGTGTGACACTGCTCTGATCAAGGCACACAGAACCTTCTTACAAAACCCCACTGTAGATAAAAGACAAGCCGACGTCGAGTCCAGAAACAAATAAACCAGCACGATATAAAACTTAGGAACATGGTAATGTCGCAGCGCAATGGCAGTCGGTCTTTCTGGACGCTGGCCAAGCAGATTAAAAAGAACTTCTACACAGTAGTATTCCACTACTTACATATCAGAATGAAACGATTGTAACCGACTCAAAGTCCAAGGAGGAAGTGCTTGCCAGGATCTTTGCTGCCAACTCCACCATGGATGTCCCCCCCCAACGCGCAAGTGCCGTCGATTCAAAGGGTTCCCTACACTATGCGGGAAAATTCATTGCTCAACCAACTCTCACAACTATAGGCCTATAGCTCTGCTTTCTGTTATAAGTAAGGTGATGGAGAGGTGCATAAATCGAGAGCTTCTGCACTACCTCGAACGTCACGGCTTGATTAGTGGTTTCCGGCACCAGCGATCCACAGGGGACCTCATAGCAATTGTGGAGTAAACTCATCCAGTCTTATGGTGAGGCTCATGTCGTTGATCTTGATATCACGAAAGCGTTCGATCAGCTGTGGCACGCTGCCCTCTTATGCAAACTTCCATCCTATGGCCTCCCAGAAAAGCTTTGCAGATGGGTGGCTGACTTTCTCTCTGGCCGCAAGATATCCGCCATAAGCGTCCTAGTGCTCATCCGGTTCCGATGGATGGCCGAGTTCTGCCAAAGAGCCGTTCATTTCGGCTGGTCGGAGTTGAGATTATCGAGGATTTGATCTGGCACAAACACATCTCGTCAATAGCGACAGTTTCTCGGAAAAAGCTAGGGTATTTGTTTAGGGCTAAGACGTACTTTTCTCCGCATGACCTTCTCATTCTATACAAGGCCCAGATCAGGCGTTGCCTCGAGTATTGCTCACATGTTTGGGGTGCTGCTGCCCCGACTACATTATTAATGATAGATGCTGTTTAGAGGAGGGCTGTCCGACTGATCGATGACTCTTCTCTAACAGATCAGTCTCGGGACCCTTTCGCACCGGCGGGCTGTCGGCGATCTCGCTCTCTTGCACCGCTACACCAACGGGTTTTGCTCCTCAGAGCTCTCTTCCATGATGTCACCGCGCGATGTGCCTGCCAGACAGACCCGCCTGACTTTGACCTCCCATCCTAACCGTCCCGAACTTCGTACGTCCAGAACTGGCCGATACGACCGCTCCTTTGTCCCGAGGATGTCGAGATTCTGGCGCAATCTACAAGAGGATGCTTCTCCCAGTTCTATTAACCTTAGGTAGTTCAAATATCGGATTAACAAAATTTAGCGGTGTCCCGGCATTTAGACTTCTGCCTGCGCGGCTGCTTCGGTATAAAAAAATAGCCGAAATCGTTCCGATTTCTTTCTAGTTTCATCTGAGGTGGAATTCAAAAATACACTGCCATATTTTCTTTTTAAAGTGACAAAATTAGACTTTAGGCGAGACGTAGTAAGTAACGTTTCGACTTTCATAGTTTATCATGAACTCTGTCACGTACCCAGCAAGGGATCTCATATAGCAATGCTAAACGTTATCCTATGTTTATAAACGACAAAGATTTGCGGATATTGTGATAACATTCTGCATCTCTATTACGCACCCAGGTGACACAATTTCTTTGAAGCCTAACGGCAGAGGGTTAAAAGTCACTACACCTGCGGCGCATTTTTTTACTATACAAAGCCTGATATGCAGTGTGCAGTTTTATATTATAGCACAGTAATATTATGGTAGAAGAATATGCAAGCTGCCTGCTGTATGAGGCGGGAATGGAGAGGGGGAACCTACTAATTATTCCTTTTGCGATTTCGTTTGAGTCATTTGGGGCTCCCGTGCTGCCGGGCCTCTGGATACGTGCCTCTTGTGCCTATATGGTGAAGAAGGAATAGTGTATTAGTTTTTGCCAATGCCATAAATACTCGAGACGGAGCCACTAAAGTCACGTGTATACCTATATATGCATTAAGTTTAAATATATTATTATATAAAGGGCATTACGGACTTGACTACTTTCTTTTTAAATTAAACGCAAACCATTCGAGATATTTTTTATACTCAAATCAATTATGTATGGAATTCGACCTCCACGGACACGTTCGCAGTGATCGATTCGTTGAACCCAATTTGCAATGACTCGGCCACACATTGCGCCAGAAACGGCCACTATCTCTCGTTCAATATTGGCTTTGAGCTCCTGTATCGACGCCGGCCTGTTGGAGCCCCACAAAAAAAGTCTAGATGTGTTAAATCTCACGATCTAGGCGGCCATTCGACAGGACCATTTCTCGATATAACACGTTTATCGAATTTTGATTTCAATATGTCGATTGTTTCACCCGCTGTGTGGCTTGTGGCATCGTCTTGTTGAAACCACATACCATTAATGTCTAGCCCGTCCAGTTGACGAAAAAAAATAACGTTAAAACATGTCTCTGTAGCGATCTCCGTTGACTGTGACGTGACGGTCATTTTCATCAACGAAAAAAAAAAACGACCCAATGACACCACCAGCATGAAAACCACGCCATAGAGTTATTTTTTGTGAATGAAGTGGTGTTTCTTGAAGCACATGAGAGTTTTCACCTGGCCAATAATGCATATTCGGTTTGTTGACGAAGCCGTTTAGCAGAAAATGCGCTTCATCATTGAAGATGATTTTGCGATGAAATTGGTAATTTTCTTGCAACACTTCTAGAGCCCTATTCAAGAACGTTCGTCGGTTCATATATGATCGAACGGTCTTACTTCTTCGGGTAACTTGATCTTATAAGGGTGCAGGCCAAGATCTTTTCGCAAAATTCGCCATAGTGTGGTCTGAGCGATGCCCAATTCTTGAGAACGCCGTGGAATCGACGTGTTGTTCGTTTGCGACGAAACCTTGAACGGTAGTAATATTATCGGTACTTTGAGCAATCCGTTGTCTCACTGGCACGGAAACATCCAGCAGCGAATATGTATACTTAATTTTTTTTACTAGACTATGAATTGCTTGTCTACTGGGACGAGGATTACGACTAAAAGTTGACGTTAACGCTCTTAACTCTCCATTAGTCGCGTGGATAATTGTAACGCCGAGAGTCGCGCGGATGACAGTGGTCATCCAATTATTAAATAATATATCTTTCAAAGAATTATTAACAAACGAAAAGTTTAGTGGAACAATGTTTTATTTTATAATATTTATATTGGATATAAACTAATACGTCAATCTAATATGGGGATTTTAATAAAACTAGAATTCCAAATAAGAAACATAAACTGCTCGACTAAGTATAAGTATTTACTGACTCTGAACACAACTGGTACAAATATTTTTAAGGTGGTGTACACAGGCCCAATTATTACATTTGTAACACCATTTCCTGCTCATTTTGTTACGTTGCCTTCCACACTGATAGCACCGCCCTCGTGACCCGGTTTTATCATTTTGCTGCATTGTCTCCTCCTGGATCCCTACAAGTAACTTAGCTCTTCTGCGAAGCCCCCTTGGGAGGGTTTCGATGCTCGCCCTCGGTTCTATTTGTGGTTTTATTAGAGCCCAACTGAGGTTTTCTAGAAATTCAGCTCTTTTTGCATTTGTTGTTGAAGCTGCACAGTGGTGTCTATAGATACAAAACGAATTTATTGCCGCTATGTTGAGAAAATCATAAAACAGTACCATGGGCCATCGTCTTGTACTGCGTTGCACGTTATTTTTTTGACACAATTGATCTAAAAGGTCAACCCCAACTTTAGTCATATTATAAAACGTGACCATTTCAGGCTTTTGTGCTTCGCCTGTTGAAGCATCTATGGCTCCATCAAAGTGCATTGTAGATAATATGATAACTGCTTTATTTTTTTTTTTGGCAGTAGGATACCAGACTACAGTCTTTCTGAAATCCAAAGGTTGACGAATTGTCTGCTTTTGTTTGCTAAAAATTCTTTGGGTATTTCCCTCTTATTTTGACGCATAGTACCAATATACGTGAGGTTTACACTTTTTAGCTTTTTTGCTAAGGAAAGACTAGAAAACCAGTTATCACCAGTAATGTTTCTGTTCGTTCCTCTTACTGGTTCCACTAAACGAAGGACGATGTCTTCAGCCGCATTGCTGATGCTATATGGTCCATCTGGTTCTTTGCCAACTTATGGTTCTAAGTTTAGCGTGTAAGCTGTTTTTGAGTCGGCAAGAACAAAAACCTTCAAACCATATTTGGCAGGTTTACTTGGAATATATTGTCGAAATGAGCATCTTCCTCGAAATGACAGTAATTGCTCGTCGACAGTAAGATACTCACTTGGAGAAAAATACTTCTGGAAGTTTTTATTGAACAGTTCCATTATTTTTCGTACTGGTGCTAGTTTATCAAGGGCCTTTCTTTGTTCCCTATCACGAACGTCATCAAATCTTAGACATCTCAGAAGAAATCTAAACCGGTTTTCCGACATAAATAAATAACATGATTCGAGACCGTTGCCTTTTGAATTGTCCCATAATTTATTGACTTTTTTTTAGAACAGCGTAAAGATCCAATAAGGTATAACAAACCGATCAAAGCTCGAACTTCTAAAGCATCAGTCTCTCTAGCATCTCTTTCCCTACCAAATTTAGCCCGAGCTTTCTGGATATAAATATTTGTTGACTCTACAATGGTCCCAATAATATCCTGGTCCAAAAATAAATTGTAAATATCAATTTCCGATTTCAACTCGCGAGCTTCATTTCTTGGACCTGGCAGGTGCGTTATAATATTGCAAGCTCGTGTTCTAACATTGAGAGGAAAACTACCGTTTTTCCACCTTGTCATTCCATCCTTCGCAAGGTACGTATCATCATCCAGCATTCCCTCATCTTCGTCGTCTAGACTTTGCTCGTCAGCTCCCTGTTCACTATCTGTGTCATGTTCGCTTTCATATACAAAATCATCATCCGATTCGCTTTCGTTTCCTTCCGGTTCACTTTCATCTTCCTCCATTTCATTATACCATTCCATCCACTTCTTGGGATCGGTGCTACTTTCGCTTCTTGGTCTTTTTGTTTGTGACATTTTCGAAAATCTGAAAAAAAAAAACAGATTTACAATAATTGTTTTATAATACGTCGAGAGTAAAATATTATTTTTAACCCTATATTTAGTCACTGTAAATAATATACATACTGTGTGACTTTGAAGTTAAGTCATTAATTTTCAGATAATGATTGTAGAAGGAAGATAAACCAAAATATGTGTGTAAAAATAAAAAAAAAAATAAAAAAATGTTACCTTGTTTTATAAAGTATCCTCCCGACAAGTATTTGAGTGCGGACCTGTATTTGATCGTGCGGTCTTGGAGCACCGTCATGCCCTCCCCTGTGAGGTCTTAAGTCACCTGATTCACGAGCCCTTTGTACTACATTAACAAAGACACGAGGGGTTGGTTGAACTCGATTTTCGTAAACATGTGCCATTCAGTGGTAAATTTTAATTATTTGTAAGCATTGGTCGTTCGTGTACTTCAGCATGATGAACATGTTTTCTTTACCGAATGTTTTAACATTGACAGTTCGGTAAATGATTTAAAGGTGCGTTTACATTGAAAGTTAAAAGTTGTCAAGTCCTTATTGGGAAGCCCGATATTATAGACACTTATAGGAATATATGGAGTATTTAAAAAAGAGGTCACGAAATCCAAATGCCGGTCATTTGTTTGTGCAAGTATTCAATTAACACTTAAAGTATTGTTTTTACAAATAGTTTTTGCGAATATTACTACAAAATTGAAATAACATTGGAAATTGTCTGGGACCAGATGCTAAGGTTGTTCAACATATCTTCCTGAACAGTGGACGCATTCCAAGTTTTGATTAATTACACATTTTTGGATAATCCTATAAATAATTATTGAGATATTGTAAGGTGTTACATCTTTTTTAGCTTGCGAAGGCATTTAATTTACACTAATTTAGATTGTGAAATTGCCCGATTTTGTAGAAACAAAGTCAGCTTCTAACAGATAGAAGATGTACTAATACATGAAAGTTGATTTGAAAACCCAAATCTCGTGGTCAGAATCATGGCTAAGAGCATTAGGACTATTCGGTTCGATTTATAGATCGTTCTTTCAATTCTAAATTGCACTCCAATCTTAGGTTCACCTCCAAATTCCCTGTACTATTAGCATCTGGGCGGAAAACGGACGCTTGCGCTCTAGATCCTTCCGGACGTCGATCTCTCTTCCTCTGTTCCCGCTCCCGTATCCCGAGCATCCCGATTTTGGTCCAGCGACTGCGATCATCCCTTAGTGAGGCTGGGCTTGGCAGTGCGACAGGCCTCAACGACGTGCCGCCATGACCATCCAGTCGCGACAGATCGCCTTGCTCATCTTCACGTTCTTCAATTTCCTCGACCAACTCTGGGTCAGATCGGAGAAGATTCCACTGGGTAAGGAAGAACACTTGCTCCGTCACTGTTGAGGCGACGTTTATGTAGTTTATTACTGAAGGAAAATGAGCATGCTTTGTTTTTGTTTTCACTTCGTTTCTTAATTCACATTTTGACTTTACGATAATTGTGCTTTTATTAACGTTTGCAACGACTGTTTGATTTATAAAAGAACTACACATACTTTTTTTACGTTCATAGGTTTAGCTATTCAGTGTAATTTAGTTAAGAATTTGGAAAAAACAACTAGAAGGATGTCTCATCCTTAGTAAGTTTTAGCAGATATTAAAGACGATGCAGAAGTTATATAAGCAGCAGAGCTTAAAGAGTTTTTATTTAATTATAAATGCTTTTATTGCTTATCAGGATGAACTAAGGTACTTTTGTTACCTTGATGTATTGCAACAATATTTATAAAATTATTTTTTTTAACCTTTTCTTTGCTCAAACATGTAGGTTTTCCAGCACTCCGAGTATGAGGTGCATTTTATAATAGTTGCACTGTCAAAAGGTTTTAAAATATCTGGAATATTGTTACTGGTGAACGAACTAATTTTTTTATTAGTTCTTTTTATATAAATTTAGACAAATTCTATAAATTAGTTTTCTTTCTCCGGACAAAGTGTTTCCAGGTTCTCATGAATATTTATCCAAAGTTGGCTGGCCCAATCCTGCATCTTTCTCGCGTTCACGCAAAATATACATTGAGTACGCGCTTGATTAAAAATTAAAGAACACTATAACAGTACAGCCTAAAATGCTTTGCGATTTAGTACTGTGGAACTTCAAAGCTTTAATTTTTTTTGTTCAGAATAGCCCAAGAAAAAAACTATGTTTGGAAACTGTTTTTCGGACCTGGGAACGTACAGTTAAAAATCCTTTTTGAATAAGATGCAAATATACTTCCAAAGAGGAAACTTATAAACATACTTCATAGTTGAAACCATGTAGATTGTGATTGTACCATGGCCAGAAATTTTTCTAACCTGGAAATGGTTAATCTGGACCAGATTATTTTAATCCAGATAATGTCAATAATGTTATCACAATTTTACGAAATTAAACGATGTAAATAAATTAATTCAGTCCTCTCCAGATCATGTTATACTTAACACAGCTCTTAAACATTCAGATAAATGACCAAATAATGAAAGTAATAAATTTTTTATTGCAAAAAATACAAACAAAGCTCCAAAACCCTTATAGTTCTCTATTTCTGCAGAAAATCTCATTTTTGATACAAAATTAAGATCTATTGAGCATGTCAACAGTCTTCTACAGAAAGCCCACCATTATAGCAAAGAGGTATCTACTAATTTTCAAGTTACGTGAAAAACTATGTCAAGCATTGGTCATATATGTATTCCAAATTATTGTAATATCGTTACATGTTTAGACAATTTCACCTAAAACATTATTATTAGAGTAAATCAAAACAACTGTGTACGTTTCATGACTTAAGTAAGTTTGATCATCTATCAGCAAAATATCCCGCTCTGAATTAATGACTTGGTCAAGTATCACTACTCAGTTTTTGTTTACAAGTTACTACCCACGGCAAGACCCCCTAATAATGATGTTCACTATAGAACCATAGACGAATCAGAATACACACATGTCACTTCTCAAGCGAAATTTTTCTTGCAATGTTGATAAAGTTTATAATGGATTTCCATTACCTGGCTTTCTTCAAGAAGTTAAAACAACATTACTTAATGCCACAGACATATATTTCACATAATCATGCATTTCTTTTTTCACCCCTTGATTTATTCAATTTTATATATCTCTTAGGTTTGGAAAGTATGCCAATTTTTCTTTTTTATTTTGATGTAACTAACAAAATCTGTTTGTGCATGGTTTATTATTATGAACATCTGCTAGTGACTATATGGTTAAGAGGAAGAGTAGCAGCATGCTACTTCGCCATATTATAGGCCTCACATTTGGTTATACTACAATGTACGAGTAGTTAATTGTAGATAAATAAATACGTATATCATTACTGTTATTATTGTATGTTACAGTGCTTTGATTTTTTGGTTTCATAAACATATACACGAAAAATTATATATCAAGTTTTTGGAAGAGACATCCTACGACCTAGTATTAGAATGGACATTTGTTTCTCTCTGAACTGTTCTTTCTATCGATATCATTCCAAGATCATTATTTCTTAGAAAATGGGTAGAGTTGTAGATGACTTCCTGTATCTAGGTGATACCAATCTGACGATATCGTGCCATCCACTATTTAGGCAAGTACAAACTTTCGTGTTTTTGATATATGATTAGAAACTTTTTTTCTAGGAGCGATATTTGAACAGGGTACTGACGATGTCCAAACAGCATTCAAGTTTGCGATGCATCAGCACAACCAGAATATAACAGGCAAAAAGTTCGAGTTCCAGGCATATGTTGATGTTATCAATACTGCAGATGCTTTCAAACTGTCAAGACTGAGTAAGTATGATTTAAGTTGTTTTTTTACATTTACATGAAGGAACCTTGTGATCCCAAACAGGTATGATCTTCCCAAGATATTTAATGTAAAATTAGATTCTTTATAAAATTGATATTAAAATAAAGCAGGAACATGAAAATTTCAAGCCTGATTGATGATGAATGGAATATGAAATTTGACAGAAGCTTTGGAGCTTTTACAATTTTTTCACTGTCTCAAAGTGATCACAAAGTTTAAAAATGGTGAAAAACATGGGTACACATTTCTTTATCTCAGCAAAAAACTTCGCCTACATCGGAAACTTATCAATATAAAAATATAATAAGCAAAGTTTGGGGCAGTGCCGATACTTATCGTTCATAACTCAGATCTCTGTACCGATTTTAAATATCCACAAAGATTTTTCATGCTTGACGTGGTAGCAACTTCAGAAAAGAATTTTATCAAAATCTGAGCAGGACAGACATACGAAAATTAGTGACATGGTTTTTGTGTTGGGCATGTAATGTAACATACAAAAATGACATCAAGTAAGTTGACTCTATACTTCACACGCAATGCTGCTACGAACATATATAACAAAAAATTACTCTCCCTTCTCCTCCTGAAAGAAATTCCAGCGGCCGCACATGATCGTTGCTATCAATAATGCAGTGTTTTTTTTGTTTCTGTGCTTTTTAAGTTCCTTCCTCTAACTGATACAACGAGAGTGACATAATACGGTTTCAAATGTCATTATAATATAGCCTAGGGGGTTCACCCTCAAAAAAGTACTGGTGGCTTGCTTTTAGATGCATCAAAGGCATTTGATAAGGTGTGGTACATGAGCCTCATCCAAAAGGGCTTTCCATTAAAACTGTTAAAATCTTTTCTACAAGCAAGGAAGTTTCAAATCAAAATCAACAATGCTTTGTCAACAACACGGCCCGTTAGAGCCGGTGTTCCTCAGGGTTCGGTCTTAGTGCCAATCCTTCATTTACTTTATTACATGACGTCCCTTTCCCCAGCGACTGTGAAGTCTGTCTCTATGCTGACGATACTGCACTAGTAGCCCAGCCGTGCTCTGGTAACCTGGTTCACGACAGGCTGCAATCTAACAATAGATTGATAGATAAAAAACGTCGCGGTACCCCATCAGAGATACCAGTGAATGAAACTCGTATACCATGGAAATAGTCTGTCTGGTATCTTGGAGTCATCATCATTGACAAGGGGTTGACCTGGTAGAAATAAACTGATATTTTGAAAACAAAATTCCAAATTGAGTTTCGGCAGCTTTATCCTTTGTTGTGCAGAAATTCAAAACGAAGTTTGATCAACAAGATTCGGTTGTATAAAATGGTCATAAGACCCGCAATCACCTACGCATGCGCGGCTTGGTGATTTCCTGCCAAGTTGCAATGAAACCATTCACAGAGATCTCGATATCCTATATCTAAGCGATTATGGAAAACTACAGGCACAGCGGCGTTATAATCAAGGAGAATCGCACAGCAACCCTCTGTTGCGTAATTCAGTAGACTACTCAGTTGAGCGAGGTTATTACCATGGCTTGAAAGTTTTTAGTCATTTCATCATTTGTTGCTGTTTTGGGTCTTCCACTTGTTGGATCGTCTTCTATGGACTCACGCGCCCATGGAAACTTTTTTGACCAAAATTTTATTGTGTAACATGGTGGTGCATCATCTTCATAGATGGCAACTATATTTTAAAGATTTGTTTTCGGCTGATGGCCCTCTTTTGTCAGACATTCTATGACATCGCGATAGTCTAATTTTAAGTAACTCATTTTTCCTCATTGTTAACTTCATAAATTGAAAACTAATTAATAACTAATTATGAAGAATAACTCAAATTTAGCCAGTAATGTTGAAATACATGCCAATATTTTATATATTATGCAATGTGCGTTTCAATTGTTTTTTTTTCATGACTAGGTGGACTTCTCTTCTAGTGCCCCTCGTACGTTCTGTTGTAGAAATATTACCTTGTTATCGACTCACCTTATATGTGAAAGAGCGGAAAGTCATGATCCAACCTATCCAACGACTACTTTATATTCATATCGTCTTTTATGCGTCTGATGCCCGAAAATAGAAAAATAAGAGGTGGGAAAAGGAAGGCTGGGCGTTGTTGGAAAATATAACTTATAATGCCGTAGGGAAGTCTAAGAGAAAATTCTTGAGAATAGGATCTCATCCCGGCGGGAACAAAAGTTTGCCATTCATACTTAATTGACTATCTTTCTTTGCGACAAAACTTCTCGCTTGGATCATAAAAGTTCATAATACCGACCGGCTGTATAAGTAAATATACATTTCTTCTTTTCTGCACTTCCTGTCGCTAGAACAAGATTCGCATAGAAGTTATTTCGCGGCAGCTGAACGAAAAGCAAAGATAAACTTTAAATACTTTTATACGTTTTTTTAAACGTTCATTATTTAGCACTAGTACTGCGCTTTATCATAAATAGAAACTCTTTATTATAAAAATGTGAGAAAAATAGAACAAAGGTCACGTACTTACGTGTACATTGAGGAAGAATTTTATTTACATGTGGTTTCATTGGCCAGTCAAACATGGGTGATTATGATGTACGTTTTTCTTTCTTCACCCGTAGCTATGCCATCATTGGATCGATTTTCAGATACTACAAAGCTTTTTAGTCCTTGGTATAGTAGTAATCTTGTGTGAAAATTTCATAAAAATCCGAGCAGTACTTTTCAAGCTATAGACGTGCCAAGGATTGGCGGACAGACCGACAAACAGATGGAAATGAGTGACACGGTTTTTCGTGATGTGCATTTCATATAACATACAAAAGACATAATATCTCATTTCCGAACTTTTTCACAATTAAAATACTTCTTCGTCAGTGGCGTAGAAAGAAAAAAGTGTGTGAGGTCAACTAGGGGACAATCCGACTAATCGGTGTCACCACCTTAATAAGTGGTCAAGTTCTTCCACATTGTCAGACGGCTGGCTATTTAGCATTTTTCTACTGATATGTAAGCGAAATTTGTCCTCTGACAATTCGATCCTAATGGCAATGACCTTCTAGATGTACCCCACAGTCTTTTACATTTGATCCCTAGTCGGTCGTTTCCTTTACATCTGTCGGTATGACAATTGTTTTGTTACTGTGTAAGGTATCCAGAATACTGAACGATATACCAAAAGAGGATATTATAATCGTATGCATTTAATAACCTTTCAATTTGGATTCAAAATTATTGATATAATGATTCACTTTTTTCTTTTTCAGTTTGCAATCAGTTTTCTAGAGGTGTTTACTCGATGCTAGGAGCAGTATCACCAGATTCCTTTGATACGCTGCACTCCTACAGCAATACTTTCCAAATGCCCTTTGTGACTCCCTGGTTCCCAGAAAAGGTCCTAGCTCCTTCATCTGGGTTCATGGATTACGCCATTTCTATGAGACCAGAGTACCACAAGGCTATTATCGATACAGTAAAATACTACGGATGGAAGAGGATTATTTACTTCTATGATTCGAATGACGGTAAGACAGAGCTCATACATTACCCACTGTACATCCATGACGTCCCTAGTCCCAGCAACTGTGAAGTCTATCTCTATGCTGACGATACTGCATTGGTGGCTCAGTCGTGGTCTGGTGATCTAGTTCATGACAGGCTGCAAAGTGCGGTGGAGGAAGTATTAGATTGGGCTGATCGGTGGCTAATTAAAATAAACCATTCGAAAACGCAGGCAATCTACTGTACAAAAAGACGTCGCGGCGTTCCGTCTGAAGTTTCAATGAATGGACTACCATGGGAATCCTCCGCTAAGTATCTCGGTGTCATTCTGGACAAAGGGATGACATGGCGGAACCATATGGAAGCGCTAAACACTAAATTCCAAATTACGTTTCGACAGTTTTATCCATTATTATGTAAACGTTCAAAATTAAGTTTGATTAACAAGATTCGACTCTATAAGGTGGTCATAAGACCAGCAATGACTTACGCATGTGCGGCTTGGTGTTTTATTGCTAAAACACACATGCGAAATCTGCAGGTTCTGCAAAGCAGAACGTTGCGCACTATTGCTGATGCCCCATGGTATGTCTCTAACGAAACTCTACATAGAGACCTCGATGTCCCTTACCTAAAGGACTACATTAAGCAACAGGCGCAGCGGCGCTATAGCCTAGCAGAATCGCACAGCAACCCTCTGTTGCGTGAGTCAGTGGACTACACAGTCGAGCAAGTTCGCAAGCACAAAAGGCCGCGGTTCGCACTGTAATCAAAATTAACTCGTGAACTTAGAACAACCAAAATTGGAGCATTTTGACACAATCTTTAGAAAAAATCAAATATTTTTAGACCATATCAAAATCTGTGAAGTGATTTTAACAATGCCTAAACGCTGCCTATCCTAAAAGATTCTCTTCTTCCCCTTTGCTCTCGTTCATCCTTCTCTCATTTCCTTTCCCTTTTTTCCTTAAAATTGTCTGGTTTCTGGGTTACCAGGCCTGACAGACTTACAAACTGACACTGTGACTCAAGAGCTAAGGTCCCACGGACCGCTCTGACAACCAACGATGACTTGACTTGACAGATCTCATACACCTATTTTCACATTTTTCTGCATTACGTATTCTCTACAAAATGAAAGTCAGTACAAGCGGGGTTTTTGGTCATGAAAACAATTAAAATTTCAAGTCGATCACATCTATAAAATTTTTGCACCTAAATATTTTAGAATATATAGGGTGTCCCATATTTAAATGGACATAGCGAGGGGGTAGGTAGTACAGAGCGAGACCTTTCCATTACTCAAAATAAAAAAGTTCCAATATCCAGTTTACGGATATCTAAACCCGCTAAATCTTAAATATATTAGTTGAAATATTAAGAAGTAACGGGTGGACCTCAAATTTTCATTTTTTTTTGTTTTTTCATCAATATCAACAGGGTTTCATCAAAATTTTACAGAACATGACTTAATTTTTATTCGGTTGCTTAAAATTGTAGGGTCAGATTTAGTTTTTTATTTCCTTGTATTTTATTATATTATGCAGCAAAATAGCAATGATTAAAAGCTAAAATTACTGTTTAGTTTTTCCGGTATTTTTAAATATTTAGTTCTATCAAGTAATGATACATGATCAATGTGAAAAAATCATTTCGTTAAACTTGAAATTCCAATGAAACGCTGACCCATCCATAAAGCGCCATGTAGCGGTCACAAAGTGAATTAATCTAATAGGATTGAGCGCAGGTGAATACTGTTTCAATCGAAACCAAGACTTATTAGACTAGACAAACTGACCAAATGACCCATGACCAGAGATCCCACTGACTATTCGAACAAGCGATGACGAATAGATTGTCGACTGACAAAAATACCTATTGATTGTAAGAACGGCTATAATTTATGCATTTTAAAATTTCAGGTTTGCTTAGACTCCAACAAATCTACCAAGGTCTGACACCAGGCATAGAAAGCTTTCAAGTGTCTACAGTGAGACGCATTGGAAATGTTAGCGAAGCTCTGAGTTTCCTCAGAGGCATCGAAGAGCAGTCTAGATGGTCAAACAAATACGTGGTGTTGGACTGCCTTGCTGAGACAGCCAAGGAAATAGTCGTAGGTCACGTTAGGGACATGGCATTGGGTAGAAGGAACTATCACTATCTGCTTTCCGGATTGGTAAGGAAAATTTATATGTTAGAACTGGAACTTTTATACAAGCATACGTCACTTCAAATGCCTTTCACAACCAAAGTGTCAGAGTTTCCGAAAATACGGTAGATCTCTAAATTCCTTTCTCACTAGTTCATATCAAAAAGCACCTACATAATGATTTTTGCTGACGTTGTGTCACACGTTTCAATTTCCTCGTTTAAACGACTGGTAAAACGTCAGCAGTGAGCCTTTCACTGCATCATCGTTTCCCATTAATCTCAGGTCGCTTTTCAAGCAAATACGATGGCATATAAAAAATGTGCATCACAGAAATCCGATAATTTCAATCCAGTCTACAGGCTACGCTGTTAGCCATCTCGTCTGCCGCATAATTTGCAGCTAATCATTTTCATGCTCATTAAAATGAACCCTGACTAATAAATAAAAATCAAGCAGTATCAACTGACAGAGAATTGGGAAGTATATAACAATTTCATTTGTTTTGGCTTTCATTTTTTGACATGCTAGATTTTATATTAGTTTTCAGCCATTTAGTTTCAGCTGAAGTTTCGTGTTACGAAAGTTTTCCTACTTATTTCTGACCTTCCATTTTCGTGAAGTTCTAATAATTCAATAACGTAACAAAGGCAATGCGGTAATAGTTTAAACCCCGACAATCTTTGCGGTGATTTCTGTATAAATAAGCATAACTCTGCATTATACATGGTTTATAAATCCACTGTACAAAATGGAGTACTAATCTACTACTGATACTTATCGTGATATGCTTATTTTACAGACGAATTGCGGCTTATCTGGCTAATAATTAAAATATAGAAATATGTGATTAAGGATAATCATTAACTATTGTTACGCAAAACAAGAAAAGCCATAAGAGATTGTACAGGGTGACTCAAAAAGCAAGGACAATGTCCCTTAAGCAACACGTACATTCAAAGATAACAAAAAAATCTGCTGGGACAAATAATAAATTTCTACACCACTGATAAGACTGAATAAGAACATAATGATCTATTGCATAGTATATTGAGATCAATTGTTGTGAAGATAAGAAATCTGTGAAGAACTTGACTCTAGATATTAGTGATCTAAATTTATTTGTGAGATACTCAACCTGGTAATGCCATTTGAGGCAGTCATCAATTATTATCCCTGAGTATTTTATTTTAGACGCTATTTTGAAACTCTGCATCGACTATAATAGAAAGTCAACATTTTTACTGAAATTTATTGTTAAGATTTCAGACTGAAACAACTTGACTCCGCCGTTTTGCGAACCGATACTTATGATTGATTCTCGAAATAAATTACTGTGTGTATTACTTCAAGATGAATAGATCATTGACTCATAATGAGAAAAGAGGTCTGTGGCAGGCCATAATTAATGCTTACTTGATCTCCGTTTTTCATACAGTGTTTTCAGCATACACGGTATCATAGGCTTTGGATCAATAAATCGCCTTTATCCAAGCAATTGTATATTTTACCTTAAACATCAACGATTGCATCTTCTCTTGATCTAGTCTCTCCGAAACCAAAATTTAATAATTCCTACGCAACTTGTGTAGTTTCCGGCATAACACAAGTCAATATGTTAATGCCCTCCGAGGATATAATTTGTTTTCGATTTCATAATTATAACTTCCACATTCTATATCGTTATGTTCCATGTTTATTTTTTTATCTTTTTTAAGCCACTATTTTCTAATTACCCTATATATATATGGTTTATTTGTGGACCTGTCAAAAGCATTTGATAGCATTGATCACGAAATATTGCTAAACAAATTATATAAATATGGTATACGCGGGAATGCGTACTACTGGCTTAAATCTTATCTGTGTGATAGAAGACAGAAAGTAATTTTGAACAAAACCGGGAACGAATAACATCTAGTCCTCGGACATATAGTACTGGTGTTCCTCAAGGCAGTACACTGGGCCCAACATTGTTTATTATTTATATTAATGATATATCCACCAGCACGAAAAACACGCAAAATCTAAGTTTCATATATGCAGATGATATAACTATTCTGATACCATATAAAGGAACGTCTGATATCCGAATCTTGATAGAGACACAAATAAACCATATTCAAAACTGGCTGCAGATGAATCAGTTAGCATTCAACATACAAAAAACGTGTTGTGTCCTATTTCAGTCAAGCCATGCCACCAAAGAACTACCCTTAATTAATGAACCTCTATGTATCAAAAGCGATACAAACCTCATAAGTGTCACCTACGATAGCTGTCTTAAGTTTGATAAGCACATTGAGAGTATGGCTTCAAAACTCAATCAAGCATGCTATTCACTACGAGTACTCACGTGTCACCTGCCCTTGCAAGCTGTGCAGGCTGCTTACTATGGGCTTGCATATTTTATTATGTCTTATCAAATAACAATTTGGGGTAATAGTCCCGCAGCCAATAGAATTTTTATCATATAAAAGAGGATAATATGAACAATGTTTAAAATGAAACCTAGAGAGTCATGTAGAAGTATATTTAAAGTCAACCGCTTATTAACATTACCGGGAATTTATATCTATAACACTCTACTGTTTATCTTTAGCCATAAAGAAAAGTTTGGAAAAAACGTCTTCAACCATAGTTACAATATTCGCAAAAGTCAGAAATACTTCTACCCATCGCTAAATTCTACCGAAAAATGTCCACATTACCCTGCACTGAAACTTTACAATGCTTTACCTCGACATCTTCAATCCATTTCAGCATTCACTATATTCAAAAAAAGCATTCATAAATATATATGCGATATGGAACCATATAGTATTGAAGAGTTCTGTGCTCTAGTGAAACCGTAAGCATTAATATCGCAGTTGTTGTATGTTGTCTATGAATGTTTGTATTGTATGTACTTTAGAAAAATTGTGTTATTTACACTGTATCACAATGACGTGTTATCTCTGTTATACATTTCTTTGTTTTTTGTTTATAACTGAGAAACCAATAAATTTCTATTCTATTCTATTCTATTGTCAAGAGACAAAAAAAGGTGGCAATCACTGGGCGAAATATCGGGAGAATATGGCGGGTGCTGTAACGTTTCCCAGCCGAGTTCAGAAATTTTTTTTCGGGTCACTTTTGCGGTATGAGGCTTGGCGTTATCCTGCAAGAATATCACTTTCTTCCGATTGATCAAAGAAGGCTGTTTCTGGATGAGTGCTGCTTGTACTCGTTGAAGCTGCTCACAATACAAGTTAGCAGTGATGGTTTGATCCCTTTCCAAAAACTCATAATGGACAATTCCAGTTGCTGTCCACCAAACACACAACAAAACCTTGTTTGGGTGCGAGGAAGCCTTGGGCGTGTGTGGTACCGAATCAGTAGGCGACAACCAATGATACGAACGCTTAGAATTCGTATACAAGATCAATTTTCCGTCGCAGGTTAATAACCGACTAAGAAATGGTTCATTAGCGTTTGCTGAACAAATGGTAAGACGACTTAATTTGTTACCATTTGTCAGTTCATGTGGGACTCATTTGCTTAACTTCCACGTCTTTCTTAGCTGATGAAGATGCAAACGAATAGTTTCAGGACTCACTCTGAACATTTCTGCAAGTTCTTGGCACGTTGTCCTGGAATTTACGTCCACAACCTGTCGAAGATCCTATTGATCAACAACATGCTTGGCAATGTGCGATCTACAGCAACCGCACGAACTCCTTTGGTTACCTGATAATATTAAGCCATATATTAGTAGAATGTCACTTTTTGAGATATTTCGTACGGAAGTCCTATTGCACACAGCTGACCCCGGTTGTCAATAAATAAGCCTAACGTATACTTTTATACTGATCGAAAAGTTATTCTACAAGTATCTAAACTTATCCGTTTTTTGACTAAGTACAAATCCACTTAACTATTTGTTTGAGTGAAGCTTGGTATATTGTGGAAATTCGCTATGCTCCATAAATTCAGAATCTTGTCAGAGCCGTCATAATTAAAATGTTTATTGAAGTGCATGCTTTCACACTTAAAGTAAGAATTCTGACAGGAGTGCTTTGAATTACCAGGGAGTGGTTTTCGATAGTGAAAAGTGATTTTTTACAGGGATGTAGCTAATGCAGGACAAAGCTGGACGAATATCCTTGACGTTTTGGGAGACCAGATACAAGTAGCGTGAACGGCCGAGATATGAATGTGTGGTCGTGTTTTTTGTCTTCAATCACCTTCGTCAATTTTCTAGTTGCATTAATGGACTTTATTCTTTATCTATACATATTCGTCTAGATCATCAAAATAAACGTATGTTTTTTCTTGATCTTAAATTGTTATAAAAACGTACGTAGACCGGTTATGGGATCAACAATATTTTTGCCCATCGGTCCCACCGCCATTGGGGTTTTTTCTGACTTCTTACTAACCAAGCTTCGTAACTCAGTTCCTCTCGTGACTGGCAACCCCTTAACGCGGAAGCCCATTACAGCACTTGATGTGTATTTGGAATTTTTCGAGGAAGTATTGTACGTGTATATACCAGCAACCTCCAACCATCAACCCCCAACCACCGATGGAAGTCGCATTGACCTACTTTAAGCTATGTACGAACGCCATACTAACGTTGATCCAATGCCGATATCAGGGGTGGATCTAGGTATATTATTTAATTATCTCAATCCTCTTTGGCGGCCGTCCAGGCTTGAACATTTCTTAAAATTACTAACTGAAACAGACAAGTTAGAAGAGCTTTCTAGCTGAAGCCAAAGTCTCGGATACGAATTCTAATCTATATACACTGTGATATTTACATAGCAGTTTTTAAAGATCTTAATAGATTCCGACAAAATGATATAGGATAAAGTCTTGAGTTGGCTACAAAGGCGCAGTGAGGCTTTTTTTCAAAAAAATATATATGCCCCTTACCGATTGTGCACGGTTTTTGAGTCCAATTTTCAGAATTTGTAGAAAATCGGAACTTTTGAGAATGTACTATTTTTTTTTGAAGTTATGTTATATCTTTACAGGATGTTCAAAAATAATGTATCGCTGCCAGTAAAAATGTAGTAGGTACAGGAATCTGCTGACCCTCAATCTTATCTGTTGACAAAAATATTACAGCATATTCAAAAAAAAATTAGTGGGCAGATAAAGTGTCCATGGTTATGAAAAATCCCTTAAGATGATCAAATGTCCTTAATAGTTTTTCCGCAAGATAGACAAAATGCTGCAGCTACCCTAAATCTCGAGAACTCCCTTTTTGTGAATCTAATCCGATAACTCAGATTGTTAACCTTCTACATGCGGAACAGGATGAGGAAGCGATTAAGGAGCCATAAATCATCAAGCCTTAATGAATTTTGGGCCTAAACAATTCACGGGATGGCGGCTTTGAAATATTTTTGGTAATAACAGAGAAAGGCCGTATTACATGACCGTTTAACCCCAGTTATTAAGGTTTTCTAATAAAAGGAGGAGAGAGGGATAGTAAATCCTGAAATTATTTAAGACTGAAGACATCCGTAACTTGGTGTGCCTTGTGTGGAGGAGCCCGATCATACTGGAATCATACAGTTTTGCGGCTAGCTTTCTTCCTGTTATTATCCTTAATTACTTATTCAAGAATTAGAAAATTGATGTAATTGTGAGATAATTTTGACCGACAATTCAACCATCAAGAGTCTGGGAACAATGGTAATGTGCATTGTCGATTGCCGTTGGAGCTTACACTAACCATAAAATATAATTTCTCTAAAGCACAAAATGAGCTTCATAGAAATTCTAGTGTCAAAGCCATCCCTGCGCGAAACCGTGACCCATTTATTCCATTATCAAGCTGCATTTCTCGTGACTATGATTTATGTGACATTTAAATATCTTGGTGTTTTTCAAAGCTTTCATGTAGCAATTACATCTTCGTGGTAGACTGTAGTTATAAAAAATGACAGCGTACAAAGAAACGCTGTGCTTTCAAGTTCTCAGGCAATCTTGGCTACTCTCCAAGCAAAAGCAGTTCCATAATAGGAAGAAGCGCAGATTATATAATAATGAATCATTCCGTTGGAAATTCCTTCCAAAAATAATAAAATAAAGCTGTCTATGAAAAATGGAGCTTAAGATATCCTTATACTTTGATTTACACTTTTTCAGTTATTCCATCTATTGATAATGTTTCTCAGGCTGTTAAAAATTATTTATATGTACAAAAGAATTAATTTCTTTTATTGGGGTAGGATTCAAACATGGACTGCGAAAGATTAGGTTTTCAATCTATCTGGATGGAAATATAAAAAAGTCAAGAAACAGAAGTTTCACATTAGTCTAATCATATTAGACGAAAATACCCCTGGTTTGCGAAATAATTGTAAAGTCTGGTTTCATTACTGCAAGTTGTTCAAGGGAGTATTCAAAACATGGACGCATAAAATCGGTTCACCAATTTTTGTGGGAAAACTTTTTATTCGACAACAAAGGATGAGGAAACCTGTTTATTTGGGATTCAATCGAAAACGTTGACAGGAATTAATACAATATTTTTAGGTACTTATGAGACCTACAAAATGAGATTACACGCAAAAAGATCCGACTAATAGCAAAAAAGTTATGGCAGAAAACCGAGGCAAACTGCAGGTTTTGGCACTTGTTAGTAATGCGACGATGGTTTCTCGCAGATATTTGAAATTCTTCAAATTCTTAGGATTTGTACTTCTAAATAACCACAACAAAATTGGAGTAGATTGGTCAAGTAGTTTTTGAGAATTTCTAATTGTTTATCTCAAAACACCTGTTTTCCGGCCATCACTACTAGCTTCTTGGGCAATATACTGGGTTAGTTCAAAGGGCATTTTCGCAAACCATTCCGGAAGATAAATGTTATTTTTATGCAAAATAGGATGGGTTACGTTTTTTCTTCTAAACAAATTCAAACATGTCGTATTTGTGAGTAATTCGCAACAAAAGATGACAGACACATCCGCTTTGTTTTAAAATATGTATAGTAACGTTTGTTTTTCGAATATCGTACCGCATTTGTTCAATTACTCACAAATACGAAATATTGGAATTTGTTTAGAAGAAAAAACGTAAACTTTGTTTTTCGCATAAAAATAACATTTATCTTTCGGAATGGTTTGTGATTCATATCGGCAAGGTAAATTACGTATATTTTGCTATCAAATGCTCTTTGAATGAACCCTGTATATTGCTCAATAAACTAGTAGTGGTGGCCAGAAAACGGGTGTTTTGGGATAAACAATTAGCAATTCTCAAAAACCTACTTGACCAATATAATCCAATTTTGTTGTTGTTATTTAGAAGTATGAATCTTACGGATTTGAAGTATTTCAAGTAGTTGCGTGAAATTATCGTCGCATTACTGACAAGTGTCAAAACCTTCATCTTGACTCGTTTTTCGGGCATAACATTCTTGCTAATAGTCGGATCTTCTTACGTGTGGTCTCATTTTGTAGGTCTCATGAATACCTAAAAATCTTGTATGAACAGTTTTTTCGTTCCTGTCAACACTTCCGACTGAATCCCAAAAAACACGTTTTCTCATCATTTGTTGTCAAATAAAAAGTTTTCCCACAAAAATTGGTGTACCCATTTTATGCGTCCATGTTTTAAATACCCCCTTGAACAACTTGCACCAATAAAACCAGATTTTACACTTATTTCGGGGAAATTTGCTAATATACATACAGTTAAACTTTTTATATGACTTGAGACACTAGGTTAATGTTTTTACCTGACTACCTCAGAAGGAGGTTTTTCACTCGTGGCTGTGTATACAGAGAAAAAATATTTCGCTGACTACAGGCCAATCGGCTTGATGGATTTTGACATATATGAGGTCTTGCGGAATTCAATCGGAAACTTCAAATTTGAAATTATGGGCTACAGCTTAAATGACTTGATTATTAGTCTTGGAAGCCCGAGTGATACTGAGTATACCAAGATTTCGTAAAATCAAAATGGCGGATATTGACCTTCACCCTAGAACTTTCTATTTTACGGCCTGTAGACTAAGCAGCATGGTGACTTTTGACATTTGAGGAGTCCTTTTCAGTACTGCAGTCGATGATCCTTTTGTGTTTTTAAAAAATATACCTGTCGCATTATCTCTTTAAACCAAATCTCACCGATAGTGGAAATAGTACGATTTTAGGATGATTGAAAGGGGTGTGTGATAGTCTGTAATGTAATGCAATGAACCAATTTATGATTGTTTGATCATTTACCGTCTTTGACTGTTTGTTCAGGTGATGGACGACAAATGGGAAAGTGAAGTTGTAGAATATGGAGCTATAAATATTACAGGGTTTCGTATTGTAGATAATTCTAAATCACACGTCAAGGAGTTTCTAGAAGGTAAGACTCATTCGTAAGATCATTACACTCATCATCCACTTAGATCATACCCATCCTTGATTCACTTGACATACGCACTCAAATGTGATCTTAGTTGTAGTTAATATAGGCAAATTTACCAAAATGTATTTCATGAATGCGACCTAAAGTAAAATACATTATCTGCATTCCTCATTAAATATTGAAATGGCACAGTCACGTGATAACTTCACTGCCGGTTATCTCCACAATTCTGGTGTACGTCTATTACTAAGAAGGAGATACTAGCTCTCTCATATATGACACTATGTGATAATGTTTTTATATTAATATGAAAAATGCATATATATATATATATATATATATATATATATATATATATATATATATACAGGGTGTTCCATAATTATTGCGACAAAATGATAGGGGTTGTAGAGGGCATAAAAATATGCAATTTTGCCTTATAAACCCCTGTTCGTAAATATGCCGTTTGAGCACTACCGCTAATTTTACCTTAAGAGAAACAAAAAATTCAACAGCTGCAAAATGTTCGTCTAGCACATTTCATGGTCTCGCCGATTTGTAAAAAAAAGCCTGCTGTGTTTACATTTTTGTTATCGTAAATTCTCCACACCGATTCATTTAATTTATCTGAGTGGTGCGTCAAACTAGAGGCCAATCCGCGTACAAGCGTGCGTGCTATTGCACATGAAATGGGAGCGTCTCAAACTACTGCTGGGCGGGTTCTCCATGACCAGCAACTACACCCATACCACCTTTTAAAAGTCCAAGCCATGGGTCCAGAAAACTATCGCGTCGACGTTTTTGTCGTTGGTGGCTGCAGCAGGAGTTGAGGCAACCAAACTTTGGTCGCTACGTTTTGTTCACTGACGAGTCCTGTTTCACAAAGGACGGTTATTTTAATAGCCGTAACAGTCACATTTGGGATGAAGAAAACCCTCATGCCATAGCCATCCATAGAGACCAACATAGTTTTCAATTAACATCTGGTGCGGCATTGTGGACGAGCATATCATCGGGCCATATTTGCTTCCACCACGTTTGGATGGGCATGCTTATGGTCGATTCTTACAGCATGTGCTACCGGAACTATTAGAAAATGTGCCACTGAACATAAGAGCCAACACGTGGTTTCAACACGATGGCGCTCCAGCCCACTTTTCTTTACAAGTGCGGCAGTATTTGGACGACAAATAGGTGGATAGGCCGAGGTGGCCCTGTGCCTTGGCCTGCGCGGTCACCCGACCTGACCCCACTGGATTATTTTCTCTGGGGCCATCTGAAAGTGTACGAAACTACTGTTCCCAACCAACAAGAGCTACTGGGAAGAGTGATGGCCGCGTCCGCACATGTTCAGGACAAACCGGGGGTATGCCACAGAGTTCGCCGATCATTGAACAATCGTGCACAGCTGTGTATTGAGCAAGGTGGAGGACACTTTGAGCAATTACTGTAGGTAAGCTGTTTCAAGAAACTGATCTTTTTTTTTGCTGCATCCCAAACGGCATATTTCCGAACAGGGGTTTATAAGGCAAAATTGTTCATTTTGATGCCCTCTACAACCCCTATCATTTTGTCGCAATAATTATGGAACACCCTGTATATATATATAACAACAGGTAGGAAAATAATGGGTAAAATCCGCAAAAAGGAGGAAAGTGGATTCGAGCACAAAATAGGATAGGTAACCCGAGCGATACGTATTTCTGCTGGTTGGCTTCATCAGGCCCGAAATGAATGCACATATGAAACTACAAAAGTAGATACACATCCAACTTCGTTTCCTCAGGTTACAGCCGTATCCGGATGTGTGGGCATGTGTATCTACTTTTGTAGTTTCATATGTGCATTCATTTTGGGCCTGATGAAGCCAACCAGCAGAAATACGTATCGCTCGGGTTACCTATTCTATTTTCTGCTCGAATCCACTTTCCTCCTTTTTGCGGATTTTACCCATTATTTTCCTACCTGTTGTTATATACTTTTCTCCGCATGATCATATTCTCTTTATATATATATAAATTTCTTTGAAACAGCCGAATAGAGTTCGCTAACACTCCAACAGATAACTGTTTTAGGTTGGAAAAGGTTGGATCCAGCAACATCTCCAGGTGCTGGTAAAGACAGTATTTCCGCTCAGGCAGCCTTAATGTACGATGCTGTCTTTGTATTGGTGGAAGCTTTCAACAAACTTCTAAGGAAGAAGAATGACTTGTTCAGAAGTAACATGAGAAGAGGTCTAAGCACCAATAGTACTTCAACTAAAGTATTAGATTGCAATGTTAATGGCGGATGGGTGACACCGTGGGAACATGGAGATAAGATATCTAGATTCCTTAGAAAGGTGTGTTTATATACCTCACTTATTAGATGAGACTCGGGCAAATTGAACACTTTAACTACTCTCAATACTGGAATGCTATTTAATACACAGGCTGACCTGAAAGTTGGCACTTTCCTTTTCAGACTCAACTAATTTTGCAATACCAAATCTAATTTGCTGCAAAATAACTCCGAAAACGTAAAAAAGAAATTAAAAAAATACTCACTATTCATTTGGTAAGGAATTTTAAGTACTGTCCTGTGGAGCTTTCTGTATTTCCAACTGTGTTCAACCAGACGGATTTTGCACGAAATAAATAAACACATGCAGCTCTGATGGAACGAAACATCGAGGATGACCTCGACGTTCTAAGTACACTCGCGGAATATCAATAGAATCTTGAAGATGCTCATTTCTTAAAAAACATGCTTAACAAGTTCCATCTTTGAAGATACCTTGTAGAGTTGAGTAAAATATCTGGAATAATTCTTCATTAATCCACTTTCAAAATTAAACAATAATATTTAGTTGTTTGTAAGTATTAAGTAAAAAGATAGAAAAAGACAAAAATACAGAATATCCATTTATAAACATTATAACATACAAAGATAGGCAATAGACAGGAAAAACCAAATCCTAAGCATTCATGACATCATTTCATTGATGGTCTCCATTACAGCCAGTTACCTGTACTGATTCGCAGTTTTGCATGAATTAATAGAAATTTCAATTGTTTACCTTGATTTGATCTCATATTTGGATATCAACAGCAGCACATAAATGAGAATAAACATGTATCCGCTCTACCTGAAGGGACATTATTTGTTTCTTGTTTAAACTATCCAATCTATCTCACTCATATATCTTGGAAAGTTTCTTATACATGCATTAGATATCTTAAAAGGTCGAAGCAGGCGGAATAAAATTAAAATTTTAAACACTAACCTTATTTCGCAAAATCGATAATTATTTTTGTTAGAAAAACACAATTTATTGTCTGGTAGCCAAATAAACATGCGGCCTCATCTACTTGACTTGACTGTCTGTTATTGAAGAAAGACGGACGACTTCTTCGCGATGAAAAAGTCATGGTTTGGATGTAATTGAGTATATTCGCTATGTCTGGGGTGTTAGCTTTGCTACGTCATAGTCCGGTAGTCAAGGAGTCCAACCCTGTACTTTGTTTTACCGGATTGAAACTTGGCGCGAAGTGAGTGCTCATCAATACCTTACTTTTAAAAAGTATCATGACTTGCACCGGAAAGAAACGAATACTTCTCTCTAAACAGTGGCGCCCATGTGGCATCGCTGGAGATTTCTGGTGACGGAAGATTGCGTGATTTCCTCTATTCCGATGTATTCAAACAAGTTCAAGAAGCGATGTGCAGTATTTTAAAATTATTTTGGATCTAGTTTCTCACCAACACTACTGAAAATCACTGCTTGAAATCACCAAAATAGTCAAAATCGCGATTTTGGCCGTGTAGGATATGCTACCACCGTAGCAAGGATCCTCAAGTAGTGTTACTTAAACACAACGTACCAACTGTGTTCCCGATGCAACAAAGTAGAACGATAATGATAAAAGCGCAGACTCTGCGCTCTTCGTGTTTCCAGATATCCTGGGAAATGACCCAGAAATGGTGAGCAATTCGTCCAAATACAATTTGGCGGGCTTTAACTCAACACATAGGCAATATTACCCATAAGGGCCAAAATACTGCTTGAACCGATTTAATACATCATAATATAGAAAGCTACGAATTTGCACCTGCGACATACACAACGCCCTGTATATCAGTTCCTTCACCGTTACTACTTTGGCATCACTTCTTAAATGTAAAGTACGGGCTTGTACTTACTATGTGCCAAGTTTCAAACAAAGTGCAAGGATTTGGAATTTTCGGGTCTTGACCAGTCGACTACCACATACAAATAAATAAATTTCTTGTAATGAATTGGATTTGGAGTCTAAATAACAGTTTCCTGTTACAAAGTTGCCGAAGTTTTGGACAAATGTATTTCCTTCTTGAGGGATCTACAAAAAAATTTTAAAACTCTAACTTTACATATATATTAATTAACAATTTAAATTATAAAATCGAGGTAAAACATACTTATTTTGGTTAAGACATTATATAAAATGAGCTATTTAAACTAATCCCCGAATTTCATTAACAATAGACACACATAAAAAGTTATTTCCCTGTTCGATTATCATAAAAAAAAGAAACTACAGCGAACTCACCGAACTGTGGTCGTCAAAACTAATCTATCATTATTCACACTTTAGATATGATTGACTGCAAGTGATCAAATCAATACATCAAACGAATAGTAATATTATTATAGAAAAACGAATGTTTCTTATTTTTAGGTTGAGATAGAAGGACTAACAGGAGAGGTTCGTTTTAGTGAAGAGGGAAGGAGGCAAAACTATACTCTCCATGTCGTTGAGATGACTGTTAATAGTGCAATGGTCAAAGTAGCAGAATGGAGTGATGAAACTGGGTTTAATCCTGTTGCAGCTAAATATACCAGGGTCAAAGCCAATGCTCATATTGAACGAAATAAGACTTACATTGTCACAACTATCGTTGTAAGTAATTTATGTGTAGTTCATGAGTAACGCTTAGTTCTAATGATGTGTGCCCGGCGCGACCTTATTGTAATCATTAATTATAAATTAAGAATTTAAACAAACCTACCTAATATTTTCTTTTTTTTCGGTATCGTCGAATCTGTATTAAATAGGACATTTACTTGTTGTCTTATCTAAATATAACTGGCTTTGCACGTCCCAAATCGCAGACCACTTTTCAATTTGTGTGGAAAAGAGCGGACAGTTTTTTTAGCGGAAATTCATGCTGTGGCGATGTATGGGTGTGGTAAATTATGTCACAATAATGTAAATTCCGGTTTATGGTCATCATTGTCATGATAATAGCAATAAAAGGTTTTCCGTATGCGCTGCGTATATTAGGATTGGGATTGTATCCGAGAAACCAGTCTCCTGTTATCGATCTACTCGTAGATATCACTTGTGCTAGGTTAACCATTTTTAGCCTTACGTTAACCTATTTTTGATATGACAAACTGAAGACTTACCAGATATGTGGAATGATATTCAAAAAGGGATAGATTTGAAGTGGAAGGGCTGAATGATTTGCACACAATGCTTTAGATGAGTTGTACAGTGTGATACAGAAAATCGTGGCAATATTTCTGTAGAATTATGTCCAAAAATAAAACGAAAAGGTCTTAAAATGCCTCGCTACCGAAATACCGAGGTTTCAGAATCGAAAAAAATATGTATTTTCGGTGTATTAGTCATGAGACTTGAAACTTTGTACATGTAGTACTAAACAGCATAGTTGATTTTTACAAAACTTTCCGCACCTGAAACTACACCAGTGGCGTAGAAATAAGGAAATTTTAATCTCTACAAAAGAAAAAAAATTATGTATTACGCCACTGACTTTTTTGAAACATCTATTGCATTTTTGAATAAGGTATTCAATTTTAGATTAATCGCCTCTATTAACATTTTTTTCACACTACTCCTTTTGAAAAAAAAAACAGACAAAATAATTGAGGTAAACTCCGTATAATAAAACTTCAACCCGTTCCATTAGAAGAGTAATACTGTCTTAGCATATCTTTATCTGAACCATATTCATGTTTTGTCCCTACTGAGTCTCATCAGTGGCGTAGAAATTTACAACTCCGTTTATGTTAGTAATTTTCTACTCAGAATGCTGACACTTTTTTTTGAATCACGTTAAATACGGAAACGGTAGCAATTTCTCTTTTCGTGAATTAAAATTCGATGGATCGGCCTGACATTAGTAAACAGTTTACAACAAGCCCTAATAAATCTGCCCTGGAAGCTGAGTCAGCAACAATTATGATATTCTTCGAAAATGACATATTATGTTTTTTGGATGTGACGAAAAACCATGTCACACATTTCCGTCGGTCTGTCTGACTGACTTGTCTGAATGTCCGCTAATCCTTGACGCGCTATAATTTGGAAAGTACTGGTCGGTTTTTGAATTTTCACACATGTGACATTTTGGCCCTATCTCCTACAGATAATCGTTACAATCATAGCCAACCGGAAAATTCTCTTTAAACGGGATTCGAAACCGCGCAACTCACAGCGACTAATTAGTAGACCCATAGCGTCTACCATTAGGGCGAAAACACAGTGGAAGCTGGTTTCCCGCCTACCAGCAACCAGCGCCGATCGGTACCGAATTTGGGCGCTGGTCATGGACACAGTGCTGACGAGAAAAAAGCAAATAAAACCTGCCTCTTCTCAGTTCCAGCGTAGTTTTCGCGTCAACATGGTGTCTAGCTCAAGTGAAGATGAATTTATTGCACTGGACAGCTCTGTTACCAAAATAATCACTAGAAAGAAAGTTAGTATTCACCCCATAAATCGTGAGAGGGTACATTATGGTGAATATCACCATTTATTCAAGGCGTTGAAAGATGACGCCGACCGCTTTTTTCAGTAAGCCAGAATGAATCATGAAACATTCAATTATATTCTAGAAAAAGTTGAACAACTTCTAACTAAAAATTGGTGTAACTTCCACAGTCTTAACTAACTTGCCTATATCCGTTATCCATATCAACCTGCTCTGACAACCGGCGAGATAGAACTAAATAATCGTTCCAGCAAAACCGGTAACGCCGACTACCTGCGCCGACAAGCCTGAGCCTGCCTCTATTGTGTTATTGCCAACTGAAGAGCATGATATTATTATAGAAACTTCTAGGCGAAGATCGGCGCTGCTTGTTGGTAAACAGGAAATAGACTTCCACTGTGTTTTCGCCCTTACGACCGTGATGCCTTTATGTTATTATACTCTACAAAAGTTACATATTTTAGGAAGAACCTTATATTATGTTACGTCAGCCAGAGAAAGGAGAATTTCTTCATGGTAACGATCGTTTTGAGGGATACTGCAAGGATCTAGCGGATTTGATTTCAAAGAAGCTTAGTATCAACTGTAAGTTCTTATGTTTTTTGTGACGTTTTATGCTTTTTTGACAGTCACCTATTCTGAACATGACATCTATCATTTGTAGTTTTTGTAAGTGGAAAACATTGATGTGAAGTAGTATCTATAATTTTTGTTCAAAAACGGATTTTCTAATATCTATGCAATATATTTTCATTTTTATTTAGATGAACTCAGGATTGTGAAGGATGGCCAGTATGGGGCAGAAAACCATGAAGTGAAAGGAGGCTGGGATGGAATGGTTGGAGAACTTGTTAGACAGGTAAATCTCAATGTCAATCTCGTGCACTATAAAATATCCCGGAATAATGAAATCTTGGCAACAAGGCTTTTTATGAGAAAAAAGGCATATTTTTTAAAATACCATACCCATTTGTTTGCTTCCCGTTTGTCTATCTTCAAGACTAGACCCATACCACACTGATGAGCGCTAAATAATACAAAACAGCGCCGTCTGCGGTTGGTCAGGGTTACAGAGACGAAAAGCCAACACATCCAGTCCAGTCTGTGTCTATTTATGCATTATATTCAACGAAAGTGTCATGAATACTTTATATTCCGGCTACTTGAGGCGTCGACTGTGGTGCTGATGAAACATCTATCTTTACTGTAGTGTAGTTATATGGTCGTCGGGGTCTTTCATTTTCACCGTGAGGCTTAAGGAAGAAATCAGCTTGGCGAAACCATTGGTAGGTGGCGATCATCCAATTTTTCACTTATTTGCGCTTAAAGTAAGCTTATACAAAACATTCTGCAAATCAAAAGGAGATTATCCAACTAAGACAGCACAAACTACCACCTGTTACCAGAACCAACCACTGAGAAAGTGACAACATGGCGAGTAGAACGTATCTTCTATACGACTAGAATCGGCGCATCGTGCTTGGCGGTGACCCGACTGACAATGCGAACTGGGATACAGTTCCAACAGTCAGCTTGATTTTGTTTTAACTTCAGCAGTGGTCGGTTCTGGTAACAGATGGCACTTTGTGCAGACTTATTTCGATAAACTTTATACTGTAAATAGATTTACTGAGCTTTCGTTCGTTGTCCACCGAGGCCAAGCCTACACCATGCTGAAGAGTTGCCAACTAGCACGAAACAGCTGTCCATGGTTGGCTGTCTGGGGTCGGATGAACGAAAGCTATGTTACTAGTAAGAAGGAAATTTTGTCGATTAGCAAATACGATAGTCTCAAAGGTGACTCAGTGGCTAACTTCTTGGAATTAGGTAGCAGCCAGTATTTTCAACTACAGATTCGTGAATTGCTTGATATTCTGCTTTAGAATGCACTTTCAAGTATGGAGTCAGACGTGTAATGGGTCTGATTGATGGGCCAGGAGTAGTAATATAAAAACATGTCATGGTCAATTTTATTAGCTAACGTTTGCTTGAATGTTGTAGCAGTGAAGCATCGTAGGATTTATTCACGATGATCCACCATATTTTATCTTTCAGGAAGCAGATATGGCTATAGCACCTATGACGATCACCTCTGAACGCGAAAGGGTGATCGACTTCAGCAAACCCTTCATGTCTCTGGGCATATCAATCATGATCAAGAAGCCTATGAAACAAAAACCTGGAGTGTTCAGCTTCTTGAACCCCTTATCCAAAGAGATCTGGGTGAGCGTGATGTTCGCTTACGTAGCAGTCAGCATTGTGCTTTTCGTTGTATCCAGATTTTCACCGTATGAATGGAGGATGATACATACCAGTATCGAGTCCAGGTTAGTTTGGACACTATTCTAGGGTCGATAAAGGTAGATACTATGATCAGTAATTTACTATTTTGCAGAGATACGCTCAATCAACACACCAATCATGGAGGAACTATGGCCAATGACTTTACAATGATGAACTCACTTTGGTTTGCTCTAGGTGCATTTATGCAACAAGGAGGTGAGCTATCTCCAAGGTATGCCATCTTGAGTATCGATTCTAAGGATAGTGTATAAGGCACATGGACCGAATAGTTTATGATATTTCATTCTGATTCTAGATCGATTTCCGGAAGGATAGTCGGAGCTTGTTGGTGGTTCTTCACTCTAATATTGATTTCAAGCTACACAGCCAACTTGGCGGCTTTCCTCACCGTAGAAAGAATGGTAGCTCCAATAAATTCTGCAGAAGATCTTGCTTCCCAAACTGAAGTTGAATATGGAACACTGTACCATGGTGCAACGTGGGATTTCTTCAGGGTAAATTAAGTAACGTTATACGAGTACATGACATAATTAAGAAAGGAATAGACAAGGGTCACTGGCACTCAGCAACTGAATCTTATCGCTATCTAGAATATGTTGTTGCAGCTTATATTCATTATTGGTGGTAATCTCTTCATATATCAGAGCAGTCGCATAGGCAGGAGTCTAAATACGGAAGCATCGCGGCTGATACGAGAACCTTAAATACTACTTGTTAATCCGCTTTTTGAACTGCCCATGGTAATCAGAACTGGGAAAGACCTCTGCAGGCAGATTATTCCACAATCTCGATTCCTTAGTGACAAAGGAGAGGTCGTACCGGCCAGTTCTGGATGTACGAAGTTCGACCGGTTAGGATACGGAGTCGAACTCAGGCGTGTCTGGCAGGTACATCTTCATGGAGGCGGGCATGGAGAAGCATAGCGTTAGAAGAGAGCCCGTCGATGCGAAAGGTCCCAAGACTGTCTGTTAAATGAAAGTAATCGATCATCCGGGCTGCTCTCCTCTGAATAGCAACGAGCCTGGATAATGTAATCAGAAAAGCTGGAACCCAATCATGTGAGCAGTACTCGAAGCTAGGCCTTGTCTGAGCCCCTTGTACATAGTAAGGAGGTTATGTGGACGAAAGTACTTCTTAGCCCTAAACAAATAGTCTAGCTTATTCCCAGCAGCTGTCGTGTTTGACGAGATGTCTTGGTGCCAGATCAAATCCTCGGTGATCTGGACTCCGGCCAAGCGAAATGTCCAGCTCTTTGGTAGAACTCGGCCATGCATCGAAATCGGATAAGCGCTAGGATGCTTCTTGTTAGGTCTTTTGTTTTGGACGCATTCAACTGTTCAGATTGTTGCGATCTCAAGCAATGATAATCTCCAGGTCTCTCGTCAGAGAAGAAGTTGCTGCAAGTCTTCTCTACAGCTCACCGCACAGATCGACTTGGTACTCTGAATTCCTATGAGTCTGTTAATTTAGATGACATTCAGGTCCAGGTATGCTCTAGACAAAGGCGGATACGGTCTTAGAGTAGGGAGGACTTGGTCATTGTTACGGATTTACTAAGTACAACATCGAAGGAGGAAAATATAAGTGGTCAATCCCGATGCCTCCATACACCGCCCACCCCCATGGAATCGCCTTTGCTTGGTGAGCGCAATACTCTAAAATCTAAGAACACTTCAGCAATTCCCCAAGTAATCCAATTTCTTATCCTTGGTACCAGAACCTACAAGACACTCGTACTTTTTAGGCAAAATTCTACTACAGGTTTGTCTGTATAGAACTAAATGAGCTGAAAACTGCGCATGAGAAGCCTGTAGATCCCTTTTAAAAAATATCATATTTCTATATATTGCAAGAACTTCTAAGGTCAGCTATACATTTTGGGGCACCATATATTTGAAGATAATGAAGTGTAAATTAGTATTATGATATAATAAAATATTTTCAGCGCTCCCAGATAACATTGTACTCGAAAATGTGGGAGTTCATGAGTTCTCGCAAGCACGTGTTCGTGAAAACATACGATGAGGGAATCAAAAGGGTGCGGCAATCTAAGGGCAAGTACGCCCTTCTGATTGAGTCGCCGAAAAACGATTACATCAATGAAAGAGAGCCCTGCGATACAATGAAGGTTGGTAGAAATTTAGACTCCAAAGGATTTGGGATTGCTACACCATTAGGATCACCTTTACGGTAAGTTTTGATTGGATAACGCTTTGGAATAAGTATGCTTAAAAATATCATATTATACGGGACCGCATTTTAAGGGGGGTCTTCTATGTAACATTTTTTTCTCAAGGGCTTCATTAAAATGATACGGGGTGTTGCAGTTTAAAAATAAAAAAGATTTTTCTTTAATATCGTCAAAACCGTCAACTGGAAAGAACTAAAATTTGGTATGTGGATTTACCTAAGTCTTGTCCACATTCAAAAGGCTTTACTTAAAATTAACGTACACCAGTGACGGAGATACAGGGGATTAATGGCGTTATTTCTCTAAACAAAAATAGTACGCCACTATTTTTTTTTCGAAACGCAAATTTTTTCGAATTTCACCTTCAATTTACTACAAATAATTACTCTTGTGTTTTTTTTCCTAGAGTGCACTGTTTTTGTAAAAATAAAACAAATCAATATGATTTATGAAGGGCCGAGATACAATTAGTTTCAAAATACAATAGGAGGCTTGACGTTTCTTGGGAGATAGTTTGTCAAAGTTATGTTTTATATGTTTGTTATCGTTACTACTACCATTTTTTTTAAGTCAAGTCAAAAGCTTCTGTTTTCCTTTTCTGAGTGTTGTGAAATGGAATTTAGCAATGATAAGTACGCCGATATTATTTTTGTGTACGAGTTCTATTCTATAACGGGTTCTCGGGTGTATCTACTTAGATTTCCTAACAGACGGCAACCTACCCCAAAGGTTTTTACGCGTTAATTTCTAAGACTTCCTCAATATGGAATTGCCAAACTTCCTGGAGTTAGAGGCCATACTGTTCAACTTATTCATTTAGCGTTGGATCATCCTAGTACTAGGCTGATTGCAGCCCAGTTACCATGTTCAAAAAGTGTTGCGACGAGAATTTTATATCGGGAATTTTTACATCCTTGCCATCGGCAAAATGTGCAATGTCTGCAACCCGGCGACGAAGTGCAACGGAGAAATTTGTTTGGTCGTTAGATAATACCCGCTCTGTGAGTATCCACTTGTTTCAACACAGATTTTCTAGAACTGTCTGGTGCGGCATTTTCAATTGCCAACTGTTTATGTACGTATTGCCACAACGTTTAAATGCAAACTTCGTTAGCAACGAGAGTACGAATGTGGTATCAGCACGTCGGTGCCGCATGTTCGTCGTGCACTAACCGCATGGTGAAATAATCATTTTAGACAACGATTGATTGGCAGAAACGGATCCGTACATTGGCCTGCGGCGTCTCCTGATTTGAACCCCCTGGATTTCTTTTTGTGGGGCGCTTTTAAACAACTAGTGTATGCTGAACAAATTAATTCCTTAGATCAGTTACAAGAAAGAATAGATAATGCGTTTCATCAAATTCAAGCCACAACAAATTTTGCGAAAATACGTTTTTCTTTATTTCCGATATGCCGCATTTGTATCTGTCAGAATGGTGGTATTTTTGAACGTTTATTGAAATAAAGCTTTGTTTATCTAATTTATTTTTATTTTATTTTTACGAAAGCAATGCACTCTAGGAAAAAACGCAAGAGTAATTGTTTGTAGCAAATTGAAGGCAAAATTCTGACATTACGCGTTTCGAAATAAAACCCAGTGGCGTACTGGATAGGTGTATATTTATTCGGAAAATAACGCCACTAATCCAAAGTATCTCCGCCACTAGTGCACATTTATTTTAAGTAAAGATTTTTGAATGTCGATAATACTTAGGGAAATCCACTAAAATTTTACTTCATTCCAGTTGACGATATTAAAAAAAATAGTTTTTTATTTTTAAACTTCTATCTTCTTAATCAAGCCCTCGACGAAAGAATGTTACATAGAATACCCCCATTAATGCGGTCCTGTGTATGATGTTTCATTTTTAATCACGACTTGTGAATCACCCTGTATAGATACATATGAATAGGAAAGCTAACTTCATTAATGACGGGAATTTTATGTACTGATTTTATATTTTCAGCGATGCTATCAATCTAGCTGTTTTGAGTCTGACGGAAGATGGAGAATTGACAAAATTGAAGAACAAATGGTGGTACGATAGAACCGAATGTGTACGAGACAAACAGGTATGCAGGGATAAAATTGTTTAGAGAACTTTAGTAAAATTTCGCTTGGCTCTGTTAAATTTAAAATCGAGGGACACTGTAGACTGGACAAGTTATTAGAACAAAAATTGTTTCAGATATGATAAAGTGAACACCACTTTACTAGGATTATATCTGAATTTCCACCTATCAACTTGCAATACTGCAATTTTCACGTGATGGTAATAGTAAATCATCTTGGATACATGTACTTATTTACTTGTCCGATAAGAACAAAAAAAAAATTTTTAAATTATACCGAAGTTGTTGAGATGTTTTAGGTAGACGAAGCAGAAATCGCGGGAAAAATTTTCCGACACCATTTGTAGAAATTCACCGCTTGAACAATTAAGTTCTTTTCTCTTTCCTCCATATATGAAATTAATATGTCAAATAGTGGCATCTGTCTTGCAAAATTTGAATTAATTGTGACAAATTAGTTTCCAATTTATAAAGTGAGCAATTTGAAATTAGAGTACCGATGTGTGACGAAATTTCTGACAAAAAGGGCCATCAGCAGAAAAAAATTCTTGATAGAATGCTTGCCGTCTATGGGGACGATGCTCATATTAATAATAATAATAATAATAATAATAATAATAATAAATGGCCTTTATTCGTCACACGATTACAAAATAATTGGTTTAAAAGGAACAGTGACGAAAAGGTGGAGTGTCAGCTTATGCTGTTTTTCAACCCGACCTGGAAAACATTGACACAAACTATAGAGAGAGAAAAAAAAAACTTAGAATATAACACTTATCAGAGAAAGGAAACAATCAATTACCTGTGGATATGCATAAAGTAAAATTTTAGCCATCCGACTGCTTTAAACTCATCTTTAACCTTTTTTTAAAATTGCTTCTTTATACTCACTTGATAAGCAGTTATATAGTTTGGGTGCCCAGTACGAGAAACTGCGTGTGAACAATGCTGTCGAATGCCGCGGGATAAGTAAGATGAGTTTATTCCTAGAGGATCTTTGATCGTACTGGCAGAGGAGGCTTAGTTTTGTATAAAGATAATATGGCGCTTTAAGGATAAGGGTCTTATGTACCAGAGATAGGCAATGCAGTTTCCTCAATTTGTTCATCTTAAACCATCCCGATTGGTCAAAAGCGCTACTAATATGATCAAATTTACGGATTCCATAAGAAAATCTGATGCATGAGTTTTGTATCATCTGAATCCGCTCGGCATCACGTTGTAAAAGAGCAGGTCCATAAACAGAGTCACCGTAAGATAATTTTGACAGGATAAGGGACTCGCAGAGTTTAAGCTTGAGCTGTGTCGACAGGACACTTCGACTCGGGTATAACTGACAAATCACATTATAGGACGCATTGCATAGTTGGTTAACATGTTTAGTGAAGCGTAGCTTGCAGTCAAACCAGATACCAAGGTTTTTGCATTCGTTTACGAAGGATATGTCTTCATTATTCACCATAATATTAATGCGATATTGATTTATTTCACGATTCTTTTTGGGCCCAAATAAAATGCAGCATGATTTGCCAGGATTTAGTTTTAGATTGTGAGCACTAGATATGTCAAAAATAGACTGCAGGTCTTGATTTATTTGATGTTGGCCAAGCATATATTCATCAGGATCGAAGCAGTTATAAAGTTGGGTATCATCGGCGTAATGATGAACGATTGAGTTGCTGGCGGTTTCATGAAAATCACATATATAAAGAGCAAATAAAAGGGGACTCAAAATAGATCCTTGAGGGACACCAAAATTTCTGAATAAAGAAGTTGATATATTGTTTTCATATATGACAGACTGTGAGCGATCAGTTAAAAAGCTCTTAATCAGCGTGCAAGCCGATGATGACAGGCCAAAGTATCTAAGCTTTTTACAGAGAATATTTGGGTCAACCGTATCGAAGGCCTTGCTAAAATCAAGAAGAACTAAGCAGGACAGCTTTCCTTGATCAGCCGCGCTATACATATTATCCGATATAGACAGGAGCGCAGTGGTGGTGCTATGTAATGGTCTGAAGCCAGATTGGGAGGTGGTCAGTAAATTATTTTGACAAACAAATGTGTGCAGCTGCTCATGTAGAGCCATTTCCAAAAGCTAAGATAAACTTGGTAAAATGCTTATAGGACGAAGATCAGAAAAACTTGAAGGATAATTAGATTTAGGCAGAGGGAGAACAAGAGCATTCTTCCAGGAAGAGGGATAAAGATTATTTGTTATACAAAAGTTAATAATGAAGGTAATATACTTGAGCAAATGCTTATGTATTATACGGATCATATCAATTGTGATGCCATCTGAGCCTTTAGCATGACTTTTGATGCGATTGATAAATTTCTCTACAGTGGCAGGAGAAACTGTCGTGAACAGAAAAGTACCACTATTCTTGACGTTTTCATATTTGTCTAAAAGGTTCAATTGAGTTAATGATTTGGTTGTTTGAGGTACGTTTAAAAAAGCACTATTTAATGAATCGAGATCCTGAAGATGTGGAGGTAGACTTATGGAGTTATGTTTAACGATATTCAAAGATCTAAGTATATTCCATGTAGTCTTCGAATTTTTATGTCTCATAACATAATCGAGGTAGGCTTTTTTCTCTCGCCTAATAGCACTAGAAACATAATTTCTGATTTTCTTATAGAATTCCCAGACAGCAATCGTTCCTGTACGTTTAAATTTTTTATATGCGTCACTTTTTGTTCGCATCATGAGTTTTATGTTGAATGTTCGCCAAGGAGCTGGTGGCTTGGTAACTCGAATGTTTCTGACAGGAGCATGCAAGTTGAAGGTGCACAAGATATTAGAGCTCAGGAAGTCAATCATTTGATCCACATCTCTCAACGTATATATAAAATCCCAGTTTATTAAAAGTAAATCATGGTAGAAATTGTCTAGGCTAAAGGTAGAGTAATCACGATATGTCCTCAGTTTACATAGGTTGCTTATCTCCGATGCATATTACACAATAAAACTCTTGTTGAAACAAATTCGATGAAGCAGAAGACCCAAAATCAGCAACAAATGAAATGACTCCATGGTTCTTGGAGATCGTCGTTTTAAGGTCTCTACCTTAAGTGTGTCATTGAGTATTTCGGAACTCAGCATAATAGCTACCTTGTACGACAATTTGAACATGAATAAGGTGTTAGCCAGGTGGGTTCGACGACTGTTGACAACTGAACAAAAATTGCGCAGGTTGGAAATTTCAGAAACTCATTTGGAAACTTTGACCAACGATTCTTACTTTTTGCATTAATTATAAAGGGTCTAGACATGGGTGCATCACTGTGATCCTTAGACAAAAACAGAACCCAAGCAGTTGGTTCATGAAGGGTTTTCACCCCGAATCATGCACGGACGCTACCCTCTGATGGAGAATTGATAACAACAGTTTTTTGGAATATCAGGGGCATCTTTCTCATTGAATAGTAATAATAATAATTATTATTATTCAATTTCAATTATAATAATTTATTGTCACAAAATACAGGTAAATATCAAATATTGTGCACAATAAACATAAAGCACCCAAAAAAAGTTTGTACTTGTGTTAGGGTTTGTTAAAAATAAAAACTAATAGTACAGTCAGTGTATGAAAAATAAAAAACCGTTAATACTGTATAATTTGTTGAATTATTATGGTAATGTCAGGAAAAATGTCCAGACAATTATAACTAAAGTAAAAGTATGGATGTTAGTGTAAGTAAAATATTATTGATTTTGATAATGATTTTTCAGATCTACAATTTCGTGGATGGAGTACCTTGGTTGTTGTAAAATCCATTTTTTTAGTTATTTTTTAAATGATTTATTTAATTTAATTACTTTTAATGACTGTGGTATGAAGTTATAGAATTTTGGTCCCAAGAAAATCAGAGATCGTTGTGTAATGGTTTTTGATGTTTGTGGAATACACATTGAATTTTGATTGAATCTTGTTGGGTAGTTATGAATGGTACGATTCAAGGATTTCGAATATTTAAAATAATGTATTAGATCACAATAAAAATAAATTTGTCTGCAATCTAATAGCTGAGCCTCCACATATAGAAAATCACTTGAATAAGTAATCTCAGTATGGAGGATGAATTTTAGAATTAACTTTTGGATTACATCAACCTTTTTGTAATCATTATTCATCACTCCCCCCCAAGCCAAAATTCCGTAAAGTAATAGAGGATAAACAAGAGCATAATATAGATTATATAGATATTTCTTATCTAGAATATCTCTGAAGTACCTGAATTTTGGAATAATACATCTCAGTCTCTTTACAAGGTACTCTGTATGGGTATCCCATTTTAAGTGTTTGTCCAAAATCACGCCTAAGTATTTTATTTTATCGGTTGACTGAATCTCTTTGAGATCACTGCTTGTATGAACGAGTTTTTTAAATTGTGGTGAGAGCCTGTCGTTACAAGACGCTATATAGTGTGTTTTGTTGCAATTAATTGTCATAGTTCTTTCCGAAAAGAAATTTCTAAATGTTTTGAAATCATGTTCGATTGTGGTTTTTAGTGTATGCCACTGGTTGCTTTCATAGAGAATAGTTGTATCATCCGCAAAACCGTTAACATTACCTGTACTACTTATTTTGAAGAAATCGTTGATAAATATATTAAATAAAATGGGTCCTAATACTGAGCCTTGAGGTACACTGTATGATATAATATGGGGTTCAATGAATGTGTTATTAATTTTGACGCACTGTGTTCGATTTGACAAATAACTTTCTATAAGTTTGTATGTTATTCACCGGAAACCTAAAGTTGTTAAAAGCGATTCATGGGTAATAGAGTCGAATGCCTTTGCCAAGTCAACAAAAACACATGCAGTTGGTTTGCCAATATCGAGATTCGTGTATATTTTACTTGTTAATTTTACAATAGCATCTTGAGCAAATTTGCCAAAAGCAACAATAGATGCTGACGTCTATGCAAACACGTTGAGAATTTTACGTAAAGCAATCAACCAGAAAATAGTATAGTAGTAGTATAGTTCGGACTTGGCTCCGTCTGACTTATTAGATTAATAAAAAAAGCAGCTGTCCACCAATTTTTTGAGAGGCAGTCAAGAGGAAACATAATAATCTTATGCGGGTATAAGTTGATGTAGGAGGGATTATATAGGAAATACAATTTTCAAAAAAATCGTACGTCTTTTGTTTCATGGCTAGGTGCATATCTTTACTAGTGTCCCTCGTGGCTTACCTAACAATCACACACACCAATAAGGCAAATTACTTATTAATATCATGAATTTAATATTTCTTGAAGCTGCTCATAATAATCCACTTCTGCTTCACAGGACGCTACTACTAACGAGTTATCGCTGAGCAACGTAGCAGGAATATTTTACATATTGCTAGCTGGACTATTCTTAGCGATGGCTGTCGCCTTGTTAGAATTCTGTTACAAATCGCACACAGAGGCTAAACGAGCCAAGATTCCCTTAGGAGATGCCATGAAAGCAAAAGCCAGACTAACTATAGGAGTTGGAAACGACTACGATAACGGAAGGGTAATAATTATTTCTGCTATCTTCTCAAAATAAATTCACTCATTGATCTTTAATACATAGTAAAACAGATCAATACAGAGTTGAATTATACATTACTACCTTTCGCATTTCATTCATCTTGTCATTTTGTCTAGCAATTTTGAGTTCGCAACTGAAGAGAAACGTTTATTATTGCTAATGGATATATATATATATATATATATATATATATATATATATATATATATAGTAGCTTTATTTTTGTCATCCACAGAAGTGACTAAAAGTGAAATTGTAACAAGCTTAATTGCTAATGGACAATATTTTCAGCTTATTCCGAGACGTGCTCCAACACCAACAACTCATAGGTGTCCACATCATGCATCCACCAACACGCTTACAAACAGACACTATATCTCACAGCAATATATCACTCTATAAACAGTGTAAGGATTTGATGCAATAATTTAAAACAAAACCTGGCACTGAGGTTACTCAATGAAGTCCCACAAGCACTATGTTAGGGGTATCTTACACGGTACCTGTAAAGTGCATTGAATGTGTAAAACATTTCATATAATGGCACAGCCTGAAACCAGAGTATATTTTTCCGAAGCTTTTCGATGTGCCGAAACTGAATCCGTGATTCAAATCATTTAATTGGGTCCAGTTTCCGAGACATCCTAACCTAAAAGTACAAAAATGGGATCTTCGCCTATGTTTGAGGTTATGTGTTATGGCGAGTTATTTATTTTTAAAAAAACCATAGATATCATCTTAAAGTACAAGCCTTGCCCTTTCAAACGCCGTTCAGTTTGCTTAATTATCTTTTTCTTTCCTTGCGGTATGACGATATGAAATTTTAGTCGTAAACAACGTAAGCCAAATTAAATGAAATTATACACAGTTGTATGCAACATATGTGTTTATTTTACTAATACTAATACATAGTGATAAACTTGAATAAACTAATAACTAATATATACTACATCGATTCCTACCGTAGGTGTTTGAAAAATAAACAAAATTTTTCGTCAGCTACAATGGCATGTCACATACGATTTAATAAAGGTAACTAAAAATAAAAAAGCAACGCACCATTTTTAACAAAAACATGTCCAGATAAAAAATGCGTGTTCAATGAGAAGCTTGTCACTCATCTGTATGTCGACTACGGTATTTGTTTTTAATGAACTTCATATTTGAAAAAGAAGATTCACACAAATAGGTTGAACTAAATAACGCTTTCACTTTCAAGGCAACACGACATAAAACTGAGTAATTACTTACTGAAGGCCAGATATATTTTGTATTTGATACTAATGATTTTAAAGCTAAATCATTTTGAAACGCAATCACTTCCATTTCTGTCGCAGCGATGTCTTCGCTAAAATTCTGCGTAACAGAAGTAGCAAATTGTTATGGATATCGATTTTCATGAAAGCGAAACAACAAATTGCGCCACAATAGCAATTTCTTTGAAATCCGTGAAACGATTTTTGAAGTCATCCTTCAAGTAAGACACTGTTTCTACATAATATTTACTGTTATAATATGATTCTTATAAACTTTGAGATATCTTTTCTGAAAGAACAGGAAAATGCATGGTATCGCCATCGTAAGTTTTGTTGTTGATAAACGCTTTTATATCAGAAATCATTTCTGCTAGTTCTTTGTCTCTCCCCTGAAGCTACAAATTAAGTTCATTTAATTATTCTGTAATATCCACAAGAAAACCAAAATCTCTAAGCCAGATTGAATTTTCCAGTGCCGGAGTCGGTTCATCACATCTTCTCACTACTGCTAATGTTTTTAATTGCAGGCCAACTCTAACCCAACTGCTGGACTTTGGGCCGTTCAGTTTTATACTGAGCGCACTGTCGCCGTGTCTTGAGTATTTATTCCGTTCAAAGTAATCGAGATCGTTCTCGAACAGATCGCTCACCGCAGTGTCGCCGCTGCTTGTGTTTATTATGAGAACTTATAAAATTTACGGAAGCTTTTATGATTATTACACCTTTTTAAAATATGTTGTGAGCCACCAGAATTGCCTTTGCGAGCTACCGGTAGCTCGCGATCGACGGGTTGGCGACCACTGCTCTGCACGTTACGGTTATGTATGCATCAAGGTTAATTATAATACACCACAGTTTAGTAACAAGTTAATGTATTTCTATGGAATAAAGACTGTCAACTAAAAATCCCAAAAATGCTCGACACTAAATCCATAAGATATCTAAAGCTTACCAAACCACAAGACTATCCTATAAACACCGAGTTTAACGTTTTTACTATCTGTATATAGATATCCAAGTACCTAAAATGTCGACTTTTTTGTTTTTAATAAACTAAACAGCATTCATTTGAAAGAGCAATGGTTGTACTTTAAGCTTAAGTTTATGGTTATTTGAAAAGAAAATATTCACCATGCTATATATAACATCGCATATAGGCAAAAATAGCTATTTTTTAGGTTAGGATATTTCAGAAACTAGAACCAAATTTGGAACTAGGAAGCATACTCTGGTTTCTGGGTAAAAGCCTTGTCACCAATGTTAGTATCTGCCAGATTTCAAAAATCGTATTGCATTATCTAACACTAGTTGTGAAAATGGACTCTTTTATCGGATACTTGAAGTTCGAAGTCTTCAAACATACAGCACCACATTATTATAAGGTTGCATAAAATCGTGTAAGATATACCTTTGAAGATTCCCAACGTCAAAACAGAATCGGTTTGACACAGTCATGAGAAACACACACCCCTTCGAATAAATGGATTGTTTTATGTCATGTCTATTGTGAACCTACTATTTCAATATCTGGTATCATTTTTAGCATGGAACTTAGATTGATATAATTCTTTCTTTTTCACAGTACTACACTCCAGCAAATCAAATCGCCGGTGCCACCGAGCCAGAACAACCACATAGCAACACACATACGCAAGTGTGAATGCCCATTTACCCTGACTTGGTGACTTAAGCAAATTATTTGTGTATGGCTATTGGTTGATGCTACCTTAGAGCGATGTCAGACATCATACTGTCAAAGTGAAAATCTGCGAGTTTGAAAGATTTTTGTTGATACAAGTAAAGGTAATGCGAAAACACGTTAATCCTTCATGTTTGTTTGGCTACAAAATGAAACCGGATATGCTTGGTATAATGTTGTCAGCAGCACTTGTCATTTTCAAGTACAAATGGATTTTTTCTTTTTCATTTCATTTGTACTTGAAAAAGACCTCCGTGGTGGCCGAAACCTCGTCAGTAAACAGTATTTCAAGGATATTTATGTGGTTTCATTTAGCGGCCAAACATCAACGAAAATACGTGTCACTACATATTTTATAGTGCGTGGGCATCTGAATGAGTATACTCCATAATCTGCATGCACAATTATTTCCTAAGTCAGGTCCGACGTAGATTTAAGCAAACCCATATTCTGCCCAGTCACGTTATAGAAACAATGAGGCTTCAAATATTATATTTTGTAGATCTTCGTGATGAAGAAATATGAAGACCGACTGACGTTAATGACCTTTTGCATTTGAAGCAATGTGGAACCAGTTCCTTGTAACTTAAAAACAATTGCTCAATGGAGATTCTAAAAATGCAATTAACAAATTAAAAAAAAAGTAAGGATTGTAAATAAAGATTGTAAAAACCTCTTTAAAACAATCTACATTAAAATATAAACGTAGTAACTAAATAAATGAATGTAATGATTTAGGTAGGTTTTTCGATAGTTAATATTAGCTCATTCAGAGTATTCTGTTAATTTGTTTAATACGATAATCAACATTCTATAGGAACAATAATCAAAAATTGATCAAAGTAACATATCGATGGATGTATACTATTAAACGTAGTCTTATTTTGTTTCTCACTGTGACTGGGTAAAAGCAAAATCAAACATAACTATTCTAAACAATTTTATGTGGTTTATATTTTTACTGATATACATAATTGTAGTGTATTAGATTTTTGTTATATTTGTGTGGAGATAATATTATCAAATAATATTTGTCTGTTTTATGTGTTGTTTTATTCAGTTACATACCCACCCACTTGTCACATACTCTTTCCACAATGAAGTTACAGTGTGCACGTAAAACCCGGACATGCTCTAAGACACATTTGAATTCAAAAAAGTTTTTAATTCCGAGAAAAACAATTGGTCCAGGTAGGATCTTGTATACCATTGCAGATTCCAGATTACAAAAAAGGGGTTGGCTTGCTAGCCTTAACGCCACTGCGAACCATATGGTTCCATTGTGATCCCCCATATACACTGTCTAAAGAACTTTGTCCAGCCTTGATCCTTTAATTAGACTCCTTGGCCTTGACACATATTGCTTTCCGATGTTGGAGTAGGTCCTCTATAAATGAAGGTTTTTGGTCTTAAATGAACTGGCCTACCTTTGCCCTTTTTCTTTTTCTCTTAGTTCAATTTCTTATTGATTGCTTGATGCGGGTTTTCCCACAGCCTGTCGGGCTAGCTAATACGCATTCTCATTTCATATCCCGTATGCCATTCATTAATATTGACCAAAAGGGCGTTCAACGCTGTACCAGGCTTCATTTAACATGACAACATGATATTCTTTCATGATATTATTTCAGGAATGAACTAATTCAAACGTATGATGGCTGAAATAGTGAACTCGTTGATCACGTACGACAGATATTACAGAATTCCGATGATCCAAGCGTGAACGAACGATAACGTGATATGAGACGGAATATGCCATAGCAGGCAAATAAGTAAGCAGAAGGTAGTATAACTGGTTGCCTGGATACGATCGTGGTTTAGTTCTAGGATATCTAACATGACATAATAAAGTTATAAAAAAAGAAAGGAAATAAAAATTAGTTAACTTTTAAACAACTTATCGCCCATTGAGGTTAATGAAGAAATTAAAACAATACGAAAATGGAAATGTCAATTAACTACAAATTTACATTCAAAAACAGTATATCCAGTGCGACAATTTCTGCTGCGACTGGATTTTGAACTCCGGAAAGAAATTTTACCTCACGGTCAAAATGCTAGTACGAGTCTATTGTTTTCTTCGGTACATTTTCCGCTTGTCTTTTTTCTGCGACACTAAAAAAGAAGACACTGTTTTTACTGTTTAAAATATAATGTATTACTCTTACACTAATTTAAAACACCACTTGCAATTATTAATTTATCACAAATTTATAGCCCATTGACTGTGTATGCCCGCTCTCGAGATTTATATTTACAGGTATTATGAAGCGACGATTTCCAGAAGCCTTCCAGATATGGTCGCGTAATTTTGGTTGCCTAAGCGTCGACGTTTCCTAAAGCTAGGAGAATCTTCTGGTCGATGTACGAGGGTAACTCTCCGATACCAAAAGTACTAGGTACGAGAGCGTTACAGTATGTATTACTCATCAAATCTCCTGAACAGGAGAAAACAAAAGATAAAAGTGTATCTCACATTATTGTTAGAAAACGCGTATATCTCATAGCTACATGTAATATGTGAGCGACAGTTTATGTCTTGAAACATCCATATGAACAAATAAGAAGTAAAACAAAAAATCAACAATACGAGGCGTTCCGTTGCTGTTATACATTCAAATACTGACCGCGCGCGACGTTGCTTAGCTCCGGTGGCATGATAACGCGCTATGTGGTATTGGTGCATAAAATAGTTCGTTCGCGAACTAGTTGCTAGGACTAGTCCGTTTTAGTGAAGGCGACGTATTGAACTAGTTGACCGGACTGAACTAGAAAGCTCATCACTACATGACGTTAGCCTTCCAAGAAAAGATCACCACAGAAACTCCCCAGTAATTACTCCTAAGGTTTCGTATTCTCTGGATTTCTAAACGACGAAAAAGGAAATCTCAAAACTTGGAGCACCCCAAAATGTGGCAACGTCTCTAAGGTTGACAGGTATAAGTGATTGGTGGCGAGACTGTAGGTGTGCTGCACCTATAAATTGTATCAATCTTACCAGCATTGTCAAAGAATCTTGAAAATTACGGCATGCCAAAACATATGATTATTTCAACTTGAATAATATAATTCGTGATGTACAAAACAGGTTTAGAATGTCTTACTCAACAGCAGCAACTCTAGCGGTGGTATTGAGGCAAATAATGCGGGGCTGGAACGCATTCTTGTTTTCCAGATTATTCAAAAGCTTTTGATTGAAAAAACAATAAACTTTCAATTGCAAGACTCGAATAGCACGGATTCGACATAAACTAATTGGCATTAAAGACATCATATATGGAACATAGGATGCAATGAATTGAGCTAGGTGAACACTACTCAGAGGATAGCAGTATACTTTCAGAAGTTCCTTAAGGCTATGTTTTAAATAATATATGCAGCGGATATCTTAAAAACACCTGAATATTGCAAGGTTCAGGCGTTTGCTCATGATTTAAAAAGAAATGAGAAATCCAGTTTTTAGAAAATACACTTCTTATTGTATAAAAAACAAACAGTTTATTTGGTTGTCTTTTTTCGCGTGTATTCGCCACGTTTAATGGTCCAGCAGTAGTCCGCCACCATGTTTGGGGTCCATTCTCCACTATAGCGCTTCTCCATCTGAGCAATTTGCTGGAGAAGTCTTTCGCCGTGTTCGTCTGTAACTGCATCCAAATGCAGCTTAAGTGACATATTGCAACCTAAGGTCTTATAATATTGGATAAGTTTTTCAACTATATCTTTGTAGTTGTCTGACTTTTGTTGCCTAGGAAGCTGCTACATACATTTGTGAAGGCATCCCATGCCCTTTTTTCCTTTCTCGAAAGTGTAGTTTTAAAATTTTGGTCCTTAAAAGGTTTTCGTATTTGAGGTCCAACGAAAATTCCTGTCTCAATGCATTTCTTTCTCTATCTAAGGCTTTTACTTTTTATAAGCCCTAGTTGTATGTGCAGATGAGGTGAATAAACTTTCTGCTGATCTACCAAGAGTTGTTAAGGAGATTTTTCTGGCCGGGCACAACGTTCTCACGTAAGAGCCAATGTTTAACTAAATAATGTTAGTTTCTGGCTCTGGTGTCCCATTCACATAAAAAACAAAAAACAACAATATTTTGTGAAGCCACTCTGCAGTCCTGTAAGCAATGTACTAACTTTGGGATCGGCACAGATATTCCACTTATGATCTTCGTATTTTCTGCTTTGGAGTAATATGCGCATGTTTCTTTCATATTTACAGCATGGCCAACGGGAACTGATAGTGGTCCGTTTCCATTGAACAACAAAACTGCGTTTAGACTTGTGTTCGAATAAATAGTCGCCACTAGGTAGGTAAACAGGAAATGTCAAGTTTATTCAGTAAACTTGGAATATCGTGCCAGTAAACGGAAATTTTCACACCTGTTTGCAGCAGGTTCCATTGCTGCAAACGAGATCCAAGTAGTTGTGCTTTTCTTTTGGGAAGATCTAAATCACGAACTAGATCATTGAGCTCTTTCTGAGTTATAAAATGTGGCTGTTTGCTGCTACTACATTCGAAAACGACTTTTCCTCTTCAAAACTTGGACCGGCTTCTGCCTCCTCTGTGTCAGAATTATCTGGTTCATCATATTTCTTTGGAGGCGTAGGAACAGGTATGCTAGAAGAGTCATGAGGTACAAGTTTACTGGCTGAGTGGATATTAGGATACACTATTTTATGCTTGCGTTTACTAGAAAATCACAGAATTTTTGTTAAGCACAAGTAACACTCATCGACATGATTCTTAGGTTGCCGCTAAATCATTGGCACTCCAAATTTCATAGAAGTGTGAGTACCCCGTAGCCTTTCTGCTAAGGTTGGCAAGTGCGGCAGTATGTTTTGTGAGCCCAAGTTTTGTCTTGATCAGCAACTTTGAACCCGAAATATAACTAGTAGCCTTTTCTTACAAATGGGCTCAAGGTCTCTCGCTGAGCTTCCAGTGTCACCTCACCACAAATATAACAGAAACTGTTTGGATGGTTCACACAGGATCGCAACGGCGTTGCTTCGCTCATATATCCACTGCTGAGTACTGTAATGCTGATCCTTCGACAAGCGGCTGACTGATTAAATACCCATTTCGAAGATCTGGTACTCGTATTTTCTAGAAACAGCGGGAATCAAGAGATCGGAAACGATTTTAGTATACAGGGACCATTCAATAAGTAACTGTCCGGGGGTTGAAACGTCGTAGATACCCCCATGCGGTGTTGTCAGATTGTACATAATTTCCCTAGATTGAGAGAAAACGTAGACTTGGCAATGTCGTACCCCATTATGCTATAGAAAGATAAATATCGCACAGTACATTCTTACATCTGCTTAAAGCATGTTATTGGTACTCTGTGGACTTCGTTAAGTGATACGACAATTTAAAGGTCGGTGTAAGGGTTAAATATGTAGAACTTATCGAAATAACGTATTTGTTTAGCGGAGAGCATTTTCGTGCAGAACAGTGTTATATTCCAATATCAAGTAATGTAAACAATAAGGTTTTGCATGAGTACGTATTAAAACTTAAAGCCAAATAAAAAATTATAGTTTTCGATAGGAAAAAAGTGTCAACATTTATCCCCTACAATAAACAATATAAGTATAGGTAGTATAGGTTTGTGGTTGTCAGTAATTTAGATGTGCTAATGGTTAATCATTTGAACATGTAAAAAAACTACTACATAAGACTTATATTTTATTGAAACGGCTATATGGTAGCCGACATATCCCCAACCATAATTAAAAAAAACATTATGTGAAGCCTTGTCAAATTTATATAACGCAGGTTTCCTTTTCGGCTTTTGCCTAAAACAATCAGATTGTTATAGAATTCAGAAGGTTCAAGACACGTGTTGCCGCATGTCCCTTAAAATTGATGAAAATGGTTTACTATGGCAAGAAGAAGACTATGATACGTGTTTCAACGATATTATGAGTAGTCAAAAATATATTAAAAAATC